ACAATGCATTCCAGTAACTCTGTGCTGTGCCGTGTGTGTAGCTCCTGTTTTTCTGTCCTGACATGTGTGCGTCTCATGCTGATAAGCAGTGGCGCCCCCTCCTTGGGTAAAAGGGGGGTCTATGCCAAATGAAAAGTTAAACTGTGTGACGCGCTGGAAATGCGGGAGTTTGGGGGCTTCGCGGATGCCAGGATGTTTTTGAATCGACTTGGCTTGGAGAAAACCAAAACCAAAAATCCTACAACCCTTTGTTGGCATGGCGTGATGAATATTTACTGCGTGCGCTAACTGCTAACTACCTACAGGTATTCCCCATTTTTTGACATTTTTAATTGGGTTTGAGCAGTCGCCACCGAAGGGGTTAAAAGGATAGGTTTGAAGGATGTTCCTAGGTGGTGCCACTTTACGCCTGTCTGTCGAAAACTCAGTTCCCCATGATTGAATGCCTGCCGAATCCGAGGGTTCAATTTCAAAACGTAACTTAGCCCTGTATTAAGAGTAAACTCTGATACCGATTCAAAATAAATCATTAGGCAGTTTAACATGCCATAAATGACAAATACAATTTAGCTAGAAGATTGATAGATTTTTTATTTAAACTTTACATACTTAATAATAAAATTTTAAACTAATTTTGTATTTTTTTATTCTTTTTACTTGCAGGTAACTATGCTCTCTAAGATCGCCCAAGCGTTTACCCACTGGGGTCAAAGTTATCCAGTCATCGTAAGTTTAGAATAGAACACCATCTCTCTTTGCCTAATTACGTTACTCCAACAATTAATTTGGGAATCTCATATTCGTTGTTTTCATAAATCCGAAAAAATAAATGTAAATTTGTAATTGCGACAAGGCAAGCGTATCTTGAAGATACATTTTTTTGTACTTGCACTGCATTAACACAACATTTTTTCTCGCTGCCCAACGAAGCGTATTAAGCTAACTGTCAACCGTATTTGTGTTAACTACCTTTTCTTGCCCCTTTTTTATATTTTTTGGTGGTAACTCATTTGTTATTCATGGAGCTGCATTTCAAGTTGGTTGCATTTCCTTGCATAGCTAATTACCTTTACGACAACACTTGACTTTACTCATTGGAAACTAGGTGAAGTTTTGTTTTTGGTAAATTATAGGGGCTAATAATGTTGTTTGTTGATTCAGTCTGGTGACTAACAATAAATTTTCAAAAAATATTACATTTTTTATATTCAAAATTTTATTAAATATCGATCTGATATTTTAACAACTTTTTTTCTTTGTGGAACTGATTGGAATTTCCTAAAAATCCCGTTTGAAATGCTTACTCTTCCGAAAAGATTAATGAGTTATTTTCCAGAAGTCAAAACAGGTTTCCTTTGTCAAAATCCACTGCAATTATGTGTGGTAATAACCGCTGGGAAGCGGCAAAAAATGCGAAATGTCAAAGAAGTTACTCAATTGCGCTGTTTGCCAGATGCACCTGATTTCCCACCCGCTGGGCTGTGCTTATCTCAGCGGGCCGCAAAAGATATGTCATAACTCAGATAATCCACCCACGAATCTCACACTTTTTTTCTGTATTTTATGCAATATGCACAAGACTTCACTTTGATGTATACCGCCTCCCTGTGGCGAAGCATTTCACAATTTCCCCCCAAAACTGGCGCTGTGAATTATGCGACATTTATTCTTGGATCTCTCGACTGCTGCACATCTGCCGGCGTTTTGCTATTATGCGGACATGTGTAATATTAAGAAGGGAATTCCCTACCAAGATTTCTCCTTCTCTGTTTTGTTTGGGAGCTGTCATCGCCAGGCGCTTGGAAATAGCAAAAAGAAATCCAGAAAAAAAGGGGGAGTGGCAAAAGTGATGACAACGCGGTTTCTTAACTCTGCACCCGAGCTGTCATCGGCAACTTTTGCAATACGATGCGGTAATGTTATCAAATCTTCTCTCCTGGCTGGCTTTTAATGGCAGGGGTTTTGTATACATTCAATCAAGGCGAAAAGAGTCGGCAATTAAGAAGAATAAAAAGGGAAAGGGATTTAAAAATTACCACATTTTAAGGGCTAACAAATGGATTTTAATTAATTATAATTTTGTTTATTGTATTATGGTTTACTACCCATTAAAAAATCAACACATTGTTAGGTTAAACAATACATTTCAATTTTTTTAATTTTAATACCAACAAAAAAATAAAATTTTTTATTTCAGTTTTTTTGGTTTTGGTTTGTTACCCTTTCAAAAAATCAATAAATTTTTAATTAAAATAAATGTATTTTATTTTATAACAGCTTTTGTTTGTTTACCTTAAAATCCCTACCCACATAGTCTTTTCCATTTCCTTCGAATATTAAAATAAAAAATAGTTATGATGCTATCCCATCACATGTTCTTTATTGATGATGAAAAGGACTTGAGAAGGCATGATTTGCAGTCTCTTGTAGATTGTTTAAATCGTTTGCTGACGCTTTTCTGGATTTTGGTACTTGCCTGTCTGCTATTTTTGCTATTGAACCAAATTGGCATCTTCAGGATTCCACGGCGAAGGAAGAAAATCAAGCTGAACGCAGTCTAATCAAGACATATTTTTCCAAATAAAGTTCTAAAGATTGCAATGCTTAAGAAAAAGAAGACAAAGAGATTTCATAACAATATGTATGCGTCATTTGTCGGAATTAATTGCCATTCAAAACGAACAAGAATGTCGAAAATAGACGAGTAGACTTTGTATTCACACATAAATATATATGCGACTGTATCGAATGTATCTTTTTTTTGTGGCCACAGCTGACCACTTGAAATATGCTGGGCAACTGCACTCAACAAATAAATAAAAAAAAATGTGAATCACGGAATTGAATTGACGTTTTGTCTAAATAGTGCACAAGGTCAATTAGTTGAAATGCCATCAATAAATTATAACAATTAATATTCAAGCTTTGATGGCAATTCAATGCTGTTTTGTTTGTAAGGGATATTTATGAAAAACCCACTGATCTGTTTTAATTATTTTTAATAAGAAATAACTTTATCTAATGTAATATGCATTCCTGATATCAATTGTTGCGCATTTTCCTTTTTTTCCTGAATGTGCGTTGCTATTTTTGACTGAACCTGAGGATCAACCCTCAACCGCCCCTCAGGCTCTAAGTTCCCGATCCAAATACCCCAGATATTTCGGCTTCTTCCTGTCCAACACAAAGAAAACTCCAAAGGAGCAAATATATACAACAAAAAGCTGCTTTTATTTCATTTGTGTGTGCGTTGTTCCTGGAACGCATATCCTAATGTATCTGTGTTTGTGAAAAGGATTTACGCCTTGTGTTTTTTTCGCACATATCTCCGGCTTTTGTTGTTGTTTGTTTTGGAGGCAGATAGGTTACCAGATACCTGAGCTATGTTTTCGCCTTGAGACTTCCATTCAGGTGCGTTTTGCGTATATATATATTGTGTATCTTCAATGGACGGAAACGAGACGGGCATATCTATTTTTGATCTATTTTTCGGGCTTTGGCTTTTTCTTTTATTCTCCTTTCACGATGGTTGAGTTTGAGCATTTCGTGTAATTGAAAAGGCATTTCAAATGCAGCTGCGTAAATTTCATTGCGTATTCCCTTTTGACAACAACAACAAGAATGGAAGCATTAGGATTTTTAGTACAGTTGAGCTCAAAGCTAACGAGCCCAGAAGCTTACCAAGTGCAAAAATAAAGAAGTTTTTCAGGAGGATTTGTAATTTGGGGTTGTTGCCTTGGAGGAATAGAAGCAGAAAGATGACAGAGGTGGTAAAAGCTTCTGATATGATTTATTTCGGAAAGGGGAAGACAATAAATCATTACAACCTTTTTAGAAGTAAATATTATACACTAATTATTAAAAACAAAAATTTTATTGACCACGAAATCAATAAACAAAGCATTTTTATTTTTAAATACATTTTCTAAATGATAATACCTTAGTAATACCTTAGTATTATCACATAAATTAAATTGAGCCACTCGTGCAGCATTTAATCAATACTCTTCTGCATTGCTCCACAAACCGTGAATCATCTCGATCAATTTCTCCCAATCTTTAAATCATTCTTATCCCCCAAGGGCATCCCTTCCCTGTTTGCCACTCCAAATGAATTCCAGTTGCCGTACTCAAAAACTGCAAACTTCCCAGGAATTTCTTAATAGCTTTTTACCGATATCTTTTTTATCCCCCTTTGGTTCGAAACGAAACCGTTGATTTTGATGGTCAAGGAAAAAAGAAAAAATAAAAGAAGCGAGTTGTTTTTTTGGCAGCTTCCACAAAAGTTGCGGGGCCGCATTTTTCTAACGATTAAACAAATTCGAAGAAAACAAACGCATCCCATGCAACGAAGGGCAGCCTCACCTGCAGTTTCCAGGAATCGGGAGTCGGGAATCCAGGATATAAAGTAGAGGTAGTGGGGGGCAGAAACCGTAGACGAGGCCAGCAGAAAAAAAAGAGAAAAAGTCAGAGAGGAGTCAGAAATCAGAAAGTTGTGTGTTCTCGCGCGTTGCATCAAAAACCTTTGGAAGCGGCGGCATTTTTTGAGATGGCCAGCCCAGAATTCCCAGAATTGAATCGTATATCTTGTGATTTTTTCCCTCTTTCTTTCTTTTTTCTCCCAAGCTCTTTTCGCTTCTTTCTAAATGCTCGATTAATTTCTAATAAATTGGTCGGAAATAAGGCTGCAGGCCAAAGATAGAGTTACCAACACAAATGCGATGCAGTTTGTTGAGCTTTTTGGCCAAGAAAGAGCCCTATGCTCCTCGCATGGCTTTTGAAATTTGAGTTTAGCTCAGAATAAACATATTTCTCGGAACTACTTGGATGGGTGGGGGATATATATTTTGCAACCTGCATCCATTCCCTTCGTGTAGATGAGTTTCGATTTTTTTATATTTAAGCAACAAGCAGGCATTGAATTTGCCATCAGGTTCCCTGTCAAACGCATCGAAACCTAAACTAATCGCCCAATATTATTTTCGTCATTCTCGTTGCAGCATTTGGCGTGTTCGGATCTCTCACAGTTTCTGGTTAAATTTCTATGCCAACGCCAGTAAAAAAGTTATCAGCAACGATAGAAGTAGTGGCAGCAGCTGCGGAAGTGATCACGAAACCGGAACAATTCAACGTAACGAGGACGACACACAAGAAATTAACTAAACAATTGCAAAATTCCCTTTGGCTAAGGATTTGCAGCGGCCGAATTGCTTTTATGCTCTGCTGGCAGCTACAAAATTCCACGAAATTCCATTTTGGCAACACGAAAACAAACAAATCAATTCGCAGCAGCACCACTGAAAAGCAGCAGCAGCAACATCAACATCGATATCCAAAAATCATTGGCAAAAATCGTAAACAACGTCATCGTAGTCGCCGTTCTGGCGCCGTTCAAACAACTTGGATCCTGAAAGTTAAGGACACCGCTAAAGATACGGCCACGGATCGGGACAAGGGTATAGTTATAGGCGCAGCGACGGAGGACGCAAAACTGCTGGCAAAATGGATCCACAGCAGCAGTTCTGCCTCAAGTGGAACAGTTATTCGTCAAACTTGGCAATAACATTCTCCAATCTGTTCAAATCGGATCTGCTGGCCGATGTCACACTATCCTGCGATGGTAAGTTGTTATCTTTAATCTTAATAGTATAAGTAAAGGTGATTAAAATATGAGTATGGTTAGAAGACGAACCTTTGACTTTGAATTAAAGGCATCAAAGCAAAAGGATATAATAAACCATATAGAAAAGCTTCAAATGATAATCAGTTTTAATGTTAAAAATTAACAATATATTGATTTTAAATAGAAAGACTGAATATTTTGAGCTACAAAGTAAAATTAGTAAAAAAGTTCGACTATCAGTACAGCTAAGGAAGTGCGAGGGAGATGGAGATATACATGCAGCAAAAAAGCGACTGCTTACACTGCTTGAATTCCATATTTGCTCATAACTTTTTAACGAATGGTCCGATTTGTAATATTTCTTCTACATTTGGATAGGTATTAATAAACACAACTATATTGCATTTATCCTTTTCCAAAATCTTTAAAGATGTGGCGATTGTGGGTATAAAAAAATATCATACTCCATAATAACTATAATATAGGATAGATAGGCATTCATTTATTTATGATATACCAAAGTAAGTTATGACCCGATGTAATGAACACAAAAATTCCCAATAATAGCTACGGATAATCCTTCATCCAATTGAGTTATTCTTATTTACCTACGACTCGCTTCCTTTTATTTCCCCACTGAGCTCATGTTTATTTTTATTTTTCGCTAATAAGCCGGTGTGGTAGAGAATCAGACATTGATTTCTTTTTGCCTTCGCCGGTTTTGTTTGATGGAGACGCGAAGTGGAAGTGGCTTTTATGGCTTGTCTCGTCCTTGTCTGTCAGCCGCATCCCAGCCCATAGAAATCATATATACCCTCCCATACCATCCCATCCATCCCCCAGTTGTTTCTAGCCTGTCTGTCTGTTTCGTCTGCTAGTTCATTTACGGCCTTTTACTACAGTTTTTATGCTGGCTTATTAAATGGCGAATAAATGCGGGCAAATTCACATATATACTTTTATTTGTATGTTTGGTATATATTTATTCAGGCTTTTGACTGAGGTCAGTTATTTGGGAGCTCCTTTTTGGTGTACGTTTAAATATATATATGTGTGTGTCTGTTTTTGGGACCCTTGTTAACCTTATTTTCCTTCTCTTTTGATTTGGGTTTAAATATTTGCCGTCGCTCGGTTACTTGGGTGTTTATGTGTCGGAGCATCTTGGCTTATTTTTATGATTATTATGTAGAGCGTATGTATAGCACCATTTTATGCTCTCCTTTATTTTATTTATCTTCCTTGTAGCTTAACCTTGGCTTAATATCACTCTGTTAGCATCTCGTTTCTTGCTTTAAATTTTACAAGATTTTCCAGCAAATTTTAAGGTTTATTCCCATCGCACATTGTTCATACGCCATGTGTGCGTAAGTATGGATTTTTTCTCCTGTTTTGCATTGATTGAATTGAATGAGTGGGTATAGCAGGGGCTGACTGGGATTATTAGGGCGGATACGTAGACAGTGTGTAGTACTCCCAAAAAAAAAAGAAAGAAAAAACGGACCTAGACAAATCCTGAAACCCTTTTGGCTTCCGGTTCCTCAGTTCCCGTTGTCATTCATATCAATCGAAGTGGTACTACTTTTGATTAAAATTTTCAACGTTACACCCCAGCACACATATACCATTCCCCTTGTTTTTTTTCTAACCCTTTGCTTTGACTGTTTTTAATTGTGGTTTTTAATATTTCTGTGGGGTATTGGATGGTTTTAGATGGGAGTCCATCCAAATTCTGCATTTGTTATGTTTGATTTGGCTCCCTTTTGTCCATTTGGCAATGAAGCATTAAATATTTGGCTGTCTGCGAAAACAAAGGCAAATAACGTATGTTTTTTATATTGTTTTTAATATTCATGTGAATTTTTTCCTTACTTGTTTTTATATTGTGATTGAAAAGGATGCATTCGTTTTGGGGGCATATTTAGCACTTGAGAAATGAGCATTTTTACCCAAATGAACATTTACTTTGCCTGGGGCTATGTTTTTAATGGGGTAAGAATATTGGGATTACATTTTGCAAATGGGGTTGAAATGGTTAGGAATAATCACATGTTCACATTCAGAAAGCTTGCATTTTTTTTTAGCTGAAGAAAGAAAATATTTAAGGAACTTTCCTAGTAAACAACACGTGCCGTAGTATTCATGATTCATTCGATTAGATTATTGCCACTAATTGTTGACCATAAAAAACAGAAAGTACGGAGTACTTGAGCCCATGTTATTGCCAAACTGCATAATAGCAAAAACCCCAAAAAAATAGCCAAAATCAAAACAAATTGCGGAGTAAATGAAAAAACGAACGCAAACGCAGAACGTAAACAAGCGAAGCAGCAGCAGCATTAGAAAAATATATATATTATACACACATAATGTCATTTCTTTATCAAGGCCAGCCCATACAGGCACATATCGAAGTGAATTTCTATAGCAATATGTGTTTTTACGTTTCCATTGTGGCGATTGTGACCCAATTTCTGTTGTATCAAGTGTTAGAAAATCCAGCTAGCGAAAAAAAAACACAACAAAAATCGTCTGATACATAATCGCAAGAACGAATAAAAGCGTTTTTTTTTCGACGACGGAGGAGGGGTAAACAAAAAAAAATATAATACAAGTGTGCTGTATGGCATATGTTAAATGCAATTTACGTAGTCTGGTGTATTAATCAACCGATTATATAATACATTTTTGGCGAGAGAGCTAATCAGTGACGACGCAAATCGCGCATACGCCGCGTTGCCTGAATCACTTCCGAGTGTGCTTATAATTATTATTATATTTCATATTTTATTTTATTCCATTTTTTTTCGGGGCTCGTGCAATGCGTTTGATTTTGACCTTGATGTCGTTTTGTTTTTTCCAGTTGTCTTGCCCCACGAATTGAATTCCGTTATCAGCCCTTATCAGCTGGTAAGCGCTGAGGCAAGAATTGACACAATTCTGCTGAATTCTATATAGAAATACACTGCACTGCGCGATAAGCTGCCCCGAAAAATGAAAGAAGAAATGTTGAATTTTGAGTGAGGAAATGACTTAATGCATTTGCGCTTCAGCTGCTACAGAATATTTCCCAAAAGTGTCAAACTTGAGATATATTTATGAACAAAGTCGGCGGTAAATTTTAGACGTCCTCTCTCTCTTTTACTCTCTATATTTTTTCCGTATTTATCTCAAAAAACACCGCTGTGCGAGTTTCGTTTCAATTTGGCTTAAGTAATGCTCGCAGCTAACACAACAAGTGCCCCATAAAAGAAAAGACATAACTTCCAGACTTCCCAACCTCCCTGCCCAAAAAGAAAATGTCAAGAAAAGAAAAACCCAAAAGAGAGACGCGAAAAGCGTGAAAAATTGTAGCCAAACGATTATATATATACACACCACCAGAGAGCACATCAAAATACACTTAGTTTCCGAGTGGCTCCCTCCGTTACAAATTTCCAACATTGCGTATACGCCGGGTGGGTTTTTGTGTGTCAGGTAGTACAAAAGATTGCCAGGACCACGACCAAGACGACATTGATGTTGAATAATAACTCAGACACATACATAGGAAAAAGTACGAAAATGAGAGCGAGTTGCAGATGCAAAGCTCCTCCTTTTGTGTCTGTGTAGTCAAGAGCGAGGAAATCATTTCCTTGCTGCGGCTTTTATTGTCCTCCGTGTACGTGTTTATGTGCGAGTGCCCATGCCCCTGCTCTTATATATATTTGACATGATTTTTTATGAGTTCAAGGTCTCGGTTAGCGTTTCGGCGCCACCTGTTGGCAACCTTTTATGGGTCGTGGTTTGGCCCCAAAAGTAAGATGCTTTAATCGAAAAACCCTTAACCAGTTTGGGATGTGGAAATATTTTAGAAATTTAAAAATAAATTTAATCTTTATATTTTTATATTCTAATAAATTATATTCTAAATTTCAGGCGCAGTATTCAAAGCACACAAACTTATATTGGCCGCCTGTTCGAAGAAGTTCGCCGATCTGTTCGAGAACACGCCCACAAATGGCCAGTGCGTCATCATACTGGAGGCGACCACGCCGGATAACATGGCCGCTCTCCTGGAGTTCATGTACAAGGGCGAGGTCCACGTCTCCCAGGAGGCACTCAACAGTTTCCTCAAGTCCGCCGAGAGTTTGCAGGTTGGTAATTAGTTTGGATCTAGATATTTTGAACAAAAAAAACAAATCGATATTTTCGATAGTTTTGTAGTTTTTTCTACATTGATAATATTATATCGATAAATAGCGATGTTTTCAAGGGAAAAAAACTAAAACCGAAAAAAGATTTGTAATGATTATGTTTTTCATGTTTTTTAAAAAAAAGTTTTCGAAAAACATCAATGTTTGAAAAATATCACAAATAAAAATAATGTCTATATTTTTCAAACTATAATATTATGTCGATAAATAGTTGTTTTCAAGAAAAAAAATTTAAAACCCAAAAAAAAATTGTTTAATAATTATCTCTTTGATGTTTAAAAAAAAAATCGAAAATATCGATAATGCCGATTTTTTCAAACTATAGTTCCTTACAATTTTAATTATCATTTTCTATCTTCTACCCTTTAGGTCAAAGGTCTGTCCACAGAAACGGGCCGTCTGGCGGCCCAGCAGGCGCAACAACACATGGGTGACCTATCGCCGCTGGACTCGCCAACGGGCAGGCGGAGCATTAGGAACAGCCTAAGCGGCGGCAACGGCAGCAGTATCGTTCCCGGTGGCGTCGGCATCGGTCTGGGCGGAGGAGGAGTAACGGGGGCGAACTCGATACCCGGCATGGGCATCGGCAACGGCTTGAGTTTGGCCGGCATGGCGGCAGCCGGAGGAATGGCGGCGGCTGCCAATGCGGCGGCCAGCAGCCTGAGCACCCTGGCGGCCAGTGCGAATATCGTGGACAGATGCGGCAGTGCCGGTGGCAACATCATCGGCGGAACGGCTGGCGGCATTGGTGGCTCGCACAGCGGAGGAGCGGGAAATAACGGAGGCGGCGGAGTAGGAGGAATCGGAGGCAATGGCGTGGGCAGCAGTGCCGGCAACAATGGACCCATTAGCCTGGGAAGCGGCGCTGGCGCTGCTCACCATCTGGGCGGATCCACCGGCATCTTGAAGCAGGAATGCGACTCCATGATGCATCCGGGCAGCAGCAGTTCCTCATCCGGAATGGGCTACACCCATGTGCCGCCCATCTACCGGCCGATTAACTACGAACCTCCGCGCAAGAGAGCCATCGTCCGTAGTCCGTACTCGGAGCAGGAGCAGCGCGGCTCGGTGCTGCGCGATGGCTCCAAGTCCTCCGAGTGTCCCAGCCCAATCAACAAGCCGCCGTACCACCGACCCTCGTCCAGCGCCTCCTCCACGGCGCCCACCGAGGCAGATACCATGCACTCCGAACGCGCTTCGCCACAGTCCAGGTGAGTTAGTCATAAGGATGAAAGCTTTAAAAAAATCGATATTATCGATGTTTTTCACACGATTGTGTCAATGATACCGATATTTTTCAAAAATATCGTAATTTTCAATGAATATATGTGAAAAATATCGATATTTTCATTAAATATATATGAAAAATTTCAATGTTTTTACAAGATTGTGTCGATAATGTCGATATTTTTAAAAATATCGATATTTTCAATAAATGTATATGAAAAATATCGATATTTTTATTAAACACATGAAAAATATCTATATTTTCCATGTTTTTACAAGATTGTGCCGATAATATCGTTGTTTTTTAAATATCGATATTTTTAATACATTGAAAAATAACGATATTTTTAATAAATATATTTAAAAATATCGATATTTTCGATGTTTTCACAAGATTGTGTCGATAATATTGATATTTTTTAAGCTCGAATAGGGATTCATTCATTAAGTGATGAGTGCGTCAACTAACTCCGCTATTTTTTTCCCCAGTCGCTACGAGAACCACAGTCCCAGCACCACAGCGGGAAATGGCAATGCCACCAGTGGCCTGGATCGCATAGTGAAATCGGAGCGCAACAATGGCAGTGCAAATGAGGCTAACGACGACGACCGCGAGCTAATGGACGAGTCCACAGACGTGAGTAGTGTGTAAATGCGGGTTCTAGACCTTTAATAATTATTGGCATTTAGAACGGAGCTGAGGATCTGCGCGTGAAGCTGGAGAACTTGAAGTACTCACCGCCGCCGCCGCCGAACTCGAACACCTCGTCGACCACACCGAATGCCCTGCTGGAGAACCTCAAGGCGGACGGCACGCTCTCGAGCAATCTGGCCGCCTCGATAGCGCCGGCGGACATGCTGAACGTTTGGAACGCGACCAAGATGAACAACAAGAACAGCGTAAATACGGCCGACGGGAAGAAGTTAAAGTGTCTGTACTGCGATCGCCTGTACGGCTATGAGACGAATCTACGGGCCCACATCCGGCAGCGTCATCAGGGCATCCGGGTGCCGTGTCCCTTCTGCGAGCGCACCTTCACGCGGAACAACACGGTGCGGCGACACATTGCCCGGGAGCACAAGCAGGAGATTGGATTGGCGGCGGGAGCAACCATAGCACCGGCTCACCTGGCCGCAGCGGCTTCGGCAGCAGCGGCGGCAACAGCGGCGGCCAGCAATCATTCACCATAGGAAGCGGCCGCAACAGCAGCGGCATCAGTAGTCATGAACGCCCACAAGGAGGCGGCAAAGCAGCGCAAACGTAAATCACTCAAGATGGCACTCGAGAAGTGCATGCAGCGAAGGGATGCAATGGTGGCGGAAACAACAACGAACGCCACGGAGACGACGGGGGCAGGAGGAGCAGCAGGAGATGGGGCAGAAAAAGAGGCAGTGGATGGGGCAGCATCGGAAGAGGGAGCAACGCTCACCTACGAACAGCAGCAGCAGCGAATGCACCAAGAGCTGACGCAGCAGATCAGGGCGGCCATGGCGGCGGAACAGGCGGCCGAGGCCATGGACTCCACCATAAACACCACGGTTAACACAACCACCACCACTACAACCACCACGAACACCACTGGCACCACCAGTGATGGTTGCAGTGATGCGGAGGCCAGCGATGGCAGTGATCGACCCATGGAAGTGGACGAGGAGGATCAGGCGCCGGAACCGCAGCCAGGATCCGAACTCGTGGTGGTCGAGCCCAAGATCGAGGTGCTATCGGAGTCCGAGGACGATGACGAGGAAGATCGTCTGCACATGTCCGAAACGGAACCGGTTATCCAGGCCGAAGCCATTTACGATCACATGCCCCAAACGCCCACCAGCCCCCCACCCCCACCACACACACAAACGCCCACTTTGACCTCCACGCCCAAGGTCAATGTGGAGCAATAGGATGAGGAGAAACGCCCCCCAAAGAAGCTGCTTAGATTTAGGCTAAGAATCGATGATGATGATGAAGATGGAGTGAAAGATGAGTGATTTACGAAAAACGATTTACGCGCGCGCAAGAAAAAGAAGATGATGATATATGACTACTGATGCAACTGCTGTTGCCCTCGGAGACCACCTACCAGGATGACAAGTGAAGTCCCTTGAAACGGGGAAAAATGATTAATATAATAACTGAAAACAAAGAATTACTAATATGATAAGATTTACACCAAACACACACAACAAACAATCAGACACGACAGACGAACACACACGAACGGCAGGCAGGAGATTTGATGACCAACTTTTTGCAGATTTTTCATTACGAATTTGTGTTTAAAGCCAACACCACCAACCAGCAATCATACAAAGTTAATGCAGCAAACACAAAACAAAATCCAAACCAATTTATGGCAGTTAAAACAGAGAAAACAGAAAACAGAACATTGAAATAAATGCAATCCGGCTGAAAAATCGTTTTCAGGGTGCTAATCAAACATAAAAAACACTAGCAACAATGAAAAACAAATTAACATTGAAAAACTAAAACTAAACGATGAAATAGTAAGTGCAAAAAGTTTGAACGTTTTTGATTGGTACCGCCAAAAAGTGTAGCAAACATATAGCAAAAAAAACAAACAAGAATTTGTTTATTCGTGTGTGTTGAAAGAGGGAGGAGAATCGATGATTCATTTGATATATTGTCGCATATATATTTTTGATTTCCTATAGAAACGTCACAAGTAACAAACTGCAAGTTGCCTCAAATCAAACGAAACGATAATGCTAAAAATCAAGAAAACTGAATTTAACGAAACGTGAATGACTAAGATTAAATACACTGCAAAACAAATAGCTGCAACAAACAAACTACAAAGCAACAATAGCAACAACAAAACCGCAACCACAAGTACCTGCAATAATAAAATAGTATAAACAAAAGAAACAAAATACAGAATAGAAGAGAAACGAAGAACCTAGGAAGGAGTCAGGATATCTAAGGGTCCTTGAGATTCCTCACCTGGGTTAAGATGGGTCCTCACTTTCCCGAACGACTGCCCCTTTGTCGGAGTTTTTTGTAAATAATTTTATTAAATTAATAATACGAAAAGGCAATTGGGGCCATGAGTCGGGTCAAGTGATGTGACCACTTTTCCCGCGAAGGACCAAGGACTCCAGGATCTGTGCTCGAAAACAGAAAAAGATTTGCTTTAAAAAAAGAGTAACATTTTTGTTTTGTGATTTTTGCGTATTGTTTTATGATTTTATGATTTCCACCTTCAAGTTTAGGCCTCAAAATTTCATACAACTGCTTTTCGGCTACAAAAATCTAAACCAAATTCAAATTCAATTCCAAAATTCAGAAGTTTCTAAAGACGTAAAAAAAACAATTGGTAAATTGGGTGCCTATAAGAAATATATAATTAAATGACTACTAGTAAAATTTTATAAACAAAGAAAAAGTATATTTAACGATGGGAGAGAAAAGCAAATAGCAAAGAAAACGTAAAGTAAATATAATTATTTTTTAATTGAATAATTCTAGCCAAGTGTGAAACATGTTAATTAACAAGCGAAAATATTAAGCAAAAACCACTCAAAAACGTTCTCAAAAACTTGATGGCAACAACAAAAGCAACAACAACAAACAGCAATAATTACAGCAAGAAAACGAAATTCAAAATCAAACTTTTGGCACACCTTTGGAAAACATTTTTCGTACAAAAGAAAATTCCCCTAAAAATCCAACCAACAAAAATTCAAAATTCCTTTTTTCGGCTCTTATAATTTCGATGGCTACATCAAGGGGCAAGTCCCTGGAAGAAAGAAAAAGAACAGAATCCACAAAGAGTAAGCTGTAAAATACCAAACAAAAGAGAAACAATTTTGTTGTAAGCGAACGAGAAGAAAACTAGAATGGAAATCTTAGAGAGATGCAATTGAAAATATTGAGAAATTGAAAATCCGCCAGCATGTGAAGGGCGGACCAAGGCAATAAAAAGTCTTGGATTGTAAATACATCTATTATTACCGCATATATATCCATAGCATATATATGTGTGGCCTCAGTTGTATAATGATAAAGCCTAGATTTAATATATATATATATACCTGTAAACTGTAAACATAAACTACTAAGCGCATATGTAGGAACACATTAGGCTCGCCAACAGAGAGAAAGAGAAGTAAGGGTTTTATTTGATTAGAAGCTAACTGAATTTCAATTGTGAAACTGTCTTAATTTCTACGTTTTCCATGTTAGCAAGGCAATAGAAGGGAGGAGATCCGATGATAGCTACAAAGGGTGATCCGCAATCCATAGAACCGTAAAATAGCCAAAATGTTGAATATTAAACTACTTTTATTAACTGTTGAAATCACAAGATACACCACACACGAAACACAAAGCCGCGTTAAAATAGGTTTTCTACCCCGACCCCCAGTTTGTTCTGTGATATCGTTTTGAAGTTGCAAACGAATAGAGCGTTTACTTTCGTTTTTAGTTCTTTTTCGTTTTATGAATAATTTGTCCTTATCAAAGAAACGACGACAACTCGAATTTTATTTAGCATTCGTGTTGAGCAGGAGAACAGAAATAGAAAAGCAAGCAGCAGCAAGGCAACCGCAAACAGCAATAGCAATATTAAATAAATAAAAACCATTAAAGTCTGGCAATATTTAAACCAAACTACCTCTTCACACCCATGCAGATTTAACCCCCGGTTACCGGTCCGTTAATTGCACAACCCCCTCAACGTTCGCTGGAGTCTGAATTACATTTTATTTTTAAGTACGTTGAGGGGGCGCAAATCTGCGGACTCGGCCCAGGGTCAAGCCATCAGTCAGTAATTCAATCCGTCAGTCAGTGAATCAATCAAACAATATAATGTTTAGTAATCAGGGGTTATTTAGATTAACCTTACTTTAATCGATACATTTACTTATATTTAGTTTATGTTACCTTAGTTCTTAGTTTCGGTAATCGTTTCGTCTTACAATTTAGAGTCTAATCAAACTCAGGAACTCATATACCTCAGGAAAGAACCTACCTCTTTGTGTTTTTAATCTTGTTTGAACTATTTTTATCATTATTATTATTATTACGATTATCATTTTTGGTTTGCATGGGACAAACAAACAGAGGAGAAAGGACGAGAGGAGAAACACAAATAATGTTTTGTTGTAATCGCAGATGCTATCAAGGAAAGCTTTAGTTCTTAGTTCGATTATCGATTATCGGTTAGTTAGTGGCTAGCAATTACACGCATATGTTTAGTGAGGACTAATTTTAAATGTAAAAGACACAATCACACATGAACACACAATAGCAATAATAATGGGAAACCAGACCAGATCGAACTGCAATAGTAAACTGAACTACCTCAATTAGCCATAGACTGCGCAGTAACGAGATGAGCATGATATAACAAATATATACTTTTCAATTTCCCACTTCATTTTATTCTTTTTGTAAAATGGTGACACATACAGAAGCACTCAGACCCATAAACACTGAACAACCTTTGGTATTTGAAGAAGGATAAACCCCATTAAAGAATTTCCTTATAGACGTTTTCATGTAAATATGCGCTAAACACACAGATCCCACGAAATTCAGATAAAACAAAAACATTTAATGTAAAACTACAAGAATATACTTTTGGCTAAACTCTAATTATACGAAAATATCCAAAACTTTTACTATGTATGTGTAGAGAGCAGATGTTTTAGGCGATATATGAACCAGGATTAAGATCATTTGTATACATCAATTTCGGCAAAGCAACTAAATGAGGCAAACCAAACAAAAAAGAAAAACACGAGAAAAACAAACGTAACTCTTTATAATCTAACTATAAACAAAAATACAAAGAAATTATTTAAGGCTACAAAATTTACCCCAAAAAGGAATGAAAAATCCACAAAAAAATTAAAGAGACGATCCCAGTAAATGGTATACTTTTGCTTGAGCCAAGTCCAGTGGCCGAATACAAGTTTTGAGCAAAGAAAAAATTTAAACTAAATTAAATTCAAAGCAAACCCCTAACGGTTATAAAATTAAAAACAAAAAAAGAGATGGAAACATTTTGCTAAACGAAGATAAACATTTTCTAAAAGAAACTTGCGTAAGTAAGCAAACTTTACAAAACAAACATTTTAGGCTTAAACTTTTGGCTAAAGAAAAAAATTAAAATTATAACAAATATTAGGCACAAGCAACACTATGTACGTGCATCAATTATACATAACTATTTATTTAAAAAAGGAAAAAGCAAAAATACTTTTATCTGTAATCAGATTTTAGGCCCAACTTTTCGACAAGCGGCGTAAAATAATTTCTTTGTAAAATATGTTTGCAAGCAAAACAAATCGAAAGAAAATCCCAGAGAGCGTAATTAACTTAATCTAAAAGTAAAAAACACAAATGTCGCCATTTTGCATTTAGAGCGTACAGTACAGTAAAGCACATAAAACGTCGACCCACGAAAGGTCACGAAATCAAACAATTATTGTACATAAAATAAATCAAACCAGAAGAATTGTGTATTGTATATTCGTAATTTTTCAATAATCCTTAGTTACCTTTACCCTTGAGTTGTATAAATTAATGAATAAGAAAATCCATAAAACAAAAGTGAAACTGTAACAAGAATACAAATATAATAATTGTAACGATATAAATAATAATAGTGTGCACACGTACAAAACAAAATTTAAGTTCAATTTAATGTGAAAATTAGTGCACCGAACATTTTGTAAGAGCTCGATGTAATTTTTGTTATATATTTTTGTTAGTAATTGTTTTTCTATTAATATTTAGCGCGAAATGTCAAGATGCAAAATAACACGAAAAATCCCCCTCAACAAGCCAATTGTACTTACGATTACTTTTCAATTTTGATATAATTTTGTGACATCTTCAACAGAACCAATTCCCCTCTATCCCCTATCCAGAAAACACTATTATGCTTACTTTACCTAAGTTATTTCAAATAACTATAAAATAAAAATTGGAGAAAGGCGAGAAACTGCATGCACCAACCCCAGTTTAATTTTAAGAGGCAAGAGAATGTAATATATATTTTTGTATAATTTGTAACAGTTTTCGTCATTCGTTCTGTTCGATCGCAACAAATTGGCTTGTTTACACATTTTTTCTAATTTGTAACCATTATATGATAAAATCTAAATTTATAATATATAAACACGTAAATGCTAAAAACAAAATGCAACTAAATAAATGTTAAACCCCAGAAAAAAACACAAAACATCTCCTAATTGGCAATTTTTATTGGTTAACCAAATTAAACGAAAAACAAAATTCTACCCCTACAGTACTGACTACGTTTTGGACTCGAATTGATTATGCCCCGACCCCACTGCCCCTCCTAAAAATATAAATGTAACGAAAATATGTATACTAAAGTTTACGACTATCGAAAGTAATTTAAAAGAAAAATAATGTGTTTAGGCCTAAGGAACTTTACAGTTCAGTTCAATGCGAAATTTGAAGATGAAAATGAAATGCTTAATGAAACTAGTTGTATTTGCATACGATACGGCTATAAATATCTCCCATATATAGAGCATTCCCCAAGTCTCTTCCCCCCTCAATGTGTAAATCAAGTTGTTGTAAATTTGTCTATCACGATAAATCGAAGCAAGTACAAATTATATTTAATGTATGTGCGTATTTTAATTGTTTTTTATTTCGTATTCCCTCGGTTAACCTTTCGAATTTAGTTTATTGTGTATAAGTCACACTTGAGAACATACAAAAACTTTTGGAACAATGACGAGTACAAAATTTCAGGTAAAACAAACAAAATTTAGCAGATAAATTAAAATTAATTAAATATATATAGAGACAAGGTATCGATGAGGAAGAAATCGTACAAATTTTTCGGCATAAAGTATAAAGTTAAAATTTTAAGAATAGCTGTCGGTCTAAAAAAGAATGACAGTTGGTGTGACTTTTAGAATTGAAATTCAGTTTCCATACCGTTTTACCCCCTTTATTATTTTTCCTCAATTTTGGGTTACTCATTTGAAATCGGATTGCAACAGAACTTGAGTTACACATGAAAAACTTACCACGAAAAACCATTCGATTTACTTTGTTCTGAACTGAAAAGTTTTCGAATCACCCAAACGAAATTTTAACCATTTAAATTCAAAGAAGGCAACGGTCCACTTGAGAAAGAAGTTCGGTATGAAAAGTACTTTACGTGAATAAGGTTAAACAAAAAAAATAGTTTTAAAAAAACGCAAATCCGTTTGGAGCAAACTCAGGGCATTATCAAGACTCACGACGATGTATACATGCATTTAATACAAAAAAAACTTTTTTCGATATGTATTACGATTAAATAAAAACAAACAAAAAAAATGCAACCGAAAAACGGATGTAATAATCATGCGAAACGATTATGAACAACTCAGGTATTAAATATTAAATGAAATATTTTTAAAAACTTATAACGAAATGAGAATGGCAGTCAAAGTCAGCATTTTCACAAGTTGTGCAATATTCTTAAAGTTTTCTAAATACGTAATAGTATTAATAATCTAATAAAGCGATCATGGAAGGCGAAAGCGCAGGATCCAGTGAGTTGAGATGTTCATAAGCATGGGATCCGAACGGAATGAGATTTAGGATTGGAGATCGAGGATTGAGGATTGAGAGATTGAAAGGTTAGGTGAGTTTTTGAAGCACATGAGGACTAGGCATGTACTTACCACTCCCTTAATATTTTTTATTTTTACCACCCACACAAAGTCAAGAACCACAAGAACAACAAACTACAACAAACACACTGACAGAGAACACACACACATACTCAACGCGAAATGCGAAAATAGTGAAATAAATAGCTAAATGAAAATGAGTTTATATAAAGAAGGAAAACATAAAACTGTGATTACATTTGATTGTCGAAGCGTTGATAAGCAAATGTTGCATAATTATTGAGCGAAAGAAAAAAGACGAGAAATATGAAATACGATACGAAAATGGAGTTATGTACTATTATTATCTGAAACCGCTTTTGATTTCGAGTATTGGCACAATGTCTAAGAATGCGACAGAGCATGAGTAAATAAATATTTAATTAGCCGAAATATTAAACTTCAAAAGAACAACTAAGGAATACAAATTATAATTATCTAAGTTATTCGAGGATAGCGAAACCTGCCCTTATTTTACGAAACACCTGTAACAGTTTACCCAGGCTAAAAAAACTAAAGCTGCGACAAAAAAACCTTCGATTTAGTTCACATTTCTCTGAACGATTTCTGTATGTAGTGCACCTTAGTTAAAAATTAAAGTCTGAGATTTTACATTTATTGTATATGGTCGAAGTATACACCTTAAAACGTATTTGAAGCGGGAATCTAAAACCGAAAGCGATTAATTAAGTTTATTGAACTACTTACTAAACGAAGCAAAAACCCACACGCTATGTATTTGGCTAAAGTTAATGTAAAAATCAAGAAATCCAAGGATTGACTCAGAAGGATGGGCAATACTACATTTTCAGAGCAGGCATATGATTTCGAAATATGAATGTATGTATGTATATCTGAAGAATACGCAAGCGAAGCAGCTTAAATATATTTTAAACATGAACTCGGATAAAAAATTTACGATTATGCCATACATTTTCGTGTAACATATTAAAAACAAAACTACGAGTAAGCTAAAACCAACAGTCACAGAAAACCAAACGCATTGTAACAGAAACTCACACGACACGGAAAGGAAATGGGCAACCAGAATGGAATTAAGCATAAAAAGTATATGAACGAAACTAAATTCAATAAACTTGTTGCTAAAATATAATAAAAACAAAATAATCTCATGGTTTTATTTCTGTGGAATTGGGTATTATAGTTATGTATAATAAAATATTTATTTTCTTAACATGCGAGGATCGTTTTTAAAATTTTTAAAAATAATTAAAATACCTAGTTTTTGAAATACGGTTATTTCAAATATGTTGGAAAGATTTCCTCTCAGTTTAATTATTTAAAAATATATATTTTTTTTATTTTTACATTACCAATAAACATTTTGCACTTCTCTATTTTTAAAATTTATTGAATTAACAATTAAACATATTTTATTCCAGTTTGGTTGGTATTTAAATTCATAAAATATTAGTTTCAATATTTTGATTTCGATTTTGAAAATTAGCGGGTTTTTTAGAAATTACCGTTACCGGGATTTTTCCGGGATTTTTCGGTATTTTATTAGTAATTTATAATACCAAATTGTTCAGTATTCGAATACCACCCATGTTGTCATTTTGCAACACTGCTGGTGTCGACGTTTCGTGGCGAATGGCTAAAACCTAATAATAAAGAAAAGAAAAAGAGTCAATTTAGTGCATTTACTTGCAATAAAACCCCCTTAAATCCTAGCTAGAGTTTAAGATAGGCCTCTATCGACGCAAGGAAGCCAGTAGCAAAAGCGGTCTCAGTCCCAGCGAAACAAGGGGAAAGCAAAAAGTATCAAAATGGTGAGTAATACTATGGTTGATGGTGTCAGGAAAAAGAAAAAACAAAAAAAACAGGCCAACAAACGGGGGTTTTATAGCGGAGCCGCCCAATTTTTAAGAAAAAGGTATTCAAGTTCTTTATTTCAAAAAGAAACCCTCTTTATAAGGGCGGCGGCCTGTGTCCCCAAATAATGCCCATATATGGTAATCCCCTGTTTTGCCGGGTGGCAGTCTAAAACCGGGGGATTTTGGGGGGCTCTCCTCTTATCGCTGCAGTGACTCAATATATAAAGTATACAAAAAAATACCTCTCTTTCAGTCGGAAATGCAAATGGATTGTGCTTTGGATCTGATGCGGAGGCTGCCGCCCCAGCAAATCGAGAAGAACCTCATCGATCTGATAGACTTGGCACCGGATCTCTGCGAGGATTTGCTCTCCTCGGTGGATCAGCCTTTGAAGATTGCCAAGGACAAGGAGCATGGCAAGGATTACCTGTTGTGCGACTACAACCGAGATGGTGACTCCTACAGATCCCCGTGGTCGAATTCCTACTATCCCCCGCTGGAGGATGGCCAAATGCCCTCGGAACGACTGAGGAAACTGGAAATCGAGGCCAACTATGCCTTCGATCAGTACCGCGAGATGTACTACGAGGGAGGAGTCTCATCGGTGTATCTATGGGATCTGGATCATGGCTTTGCCGCGGTTATATTGATCAAGAAAGCGGGCGATGGCAGCAAGATGATTCGCGGCTGCTGGGACTCGATTCATGTGGTGGAGGTGCAGGAGAAGACCACCGGCAGGACGGCCCACTACAAGCTCACCTCGACGGCAATGCTGTGGCTGCAGACGAATAAGCAGGGCTCGGGCACCATGAATCTGGGTGGATCCCTCACCCGGCAGCAGGAGCAGGATGCCAATGTGAGTGAATCGTCGCCGCATATCGCTAATATTGGCAAAATGGTCGAGGAGATGGAGAACAAGATCCGGAACACGCTGAACGAGATCTATTTCGGCAAAACCAAGGACATTGTGAACGGCTTGAGGAGCACACAATCGCTGGCCGATCAGCGCCAGCAGGCGGCCATGAAACAGGACCTCGCAGCGGCCATTCTGCGACGCAATGTCAAGCCCGAATCGAACTGAGCACCGAGCGGCTGAAGGCTGAATTTTCACATGAAAAAACCATCCAGTCTACGAGGGGTCTGTTCTTGAAATAGGGTAATTAATAAGCGAATTGTAAGGCCTAGAAATATTATCTTAATGAGAGGCATTTCCTTAATATTTAAACTGCACCCAAACAATTCCCTGTTACTCACTCTTTTTCACACAGAGTTTATAAGACCCCTTTTAGCCTGGACCAAGAGCAGACTAAAAATATTAAATACGCATTTCTAGGCAGTAAATTTGTTACATGAGAGAAAATTGTTACAACACAAAACAAACATATTAAAGTAAATCCTCCCCACATTGTTGCAATCTAGAGTCGCGCTTCATCCACAGTTCAGCCGAAAATGCCAACTTCGCCGCCCTCAAGACAGTATCCATAAGTATTTGTATCTTATTTGTAATAATGCATATTTGCACCGAAGCCGAGGCACTTGAGTTTCGTTCTTAATCCTTCCGCGAATAAATATTGTGTTTATTAATTGTGACTTTGTGTTTGTGTGTACTCTAACAATTAGGAGCTCGAAGCAAAAGAATATTAACTAAAATCGCTTTGTGATTGTATTATCCGAGGAAATGCACATTACCTTTTCTTCTTTACTTAATATTTTTTAACAAACATTTTTGGAAGGCAAGGAGAAATTTTATACAAAGAGAAAACTAATAAATATTGAATTATACCGTTATGCTTTTTAATTGGGGGAAATAGTTTCGCTATCGCATTAGATAAGATATATTAAACATATAATATAAGTTCCCTATGTTGTTTTATTTTATCATGACAGACTTGTGATATTGATTTCGACATATAGCACCCCCTATAGTCACAAAGAAAGATAAGGACTGAAAGAAAACATCGAGCACTTTGGTTCATGGCTACCTTTAAGATACGATTGCATTTATTTATGAAAATCTTAGACCGTTTGATTAAAAATATGTAATTAAATACGTTGAGGTGTGTGACGCAAGTGATGGTGTGCTTACATACTTAGACAATTACTCTTTAATCTGTTCATTTATCAGCAAATAGTTTAAGTTTATGTGTTTTTCACCGACATTGCGTAGTCGCGATTTATCATAGTTATTACAGAATACTCGTACAGTAATATAGATCGTTTCGTTTTTGTGTTACCAGCTATATACAATGGGCGACAACAACTAATTAAGGTGTTCAACATTGAAATCGAGGATTATAAATTAGGTTTACTTTTCGTCGCGCATAGATATCTACAACTTAGGCTAGGGGTATTACGAATAAGTTAGATTTATTTAGAGGGGAGGACGTGCGCGTAGAAGGAACTACGATTACATACAATATTTTACACGGGATCTGAAGGCGTGGCCGGACAAATAGTTTCTCGAAATTGGAAGATCAGTGTCGGTGCAGCACGGCAAACGTTGATTCCCTCCTCGATGGCGGTTAGAAAAATACATAGCAGATGGGCCACACGAATGTGTAAATGTGCAAAAATATGCGTAGAAAGTCTCTTCGGTCCAGCGAAAGTCACAGCTTATTGCATTTTCGACACCTCGAACTTGGTGTTGATGATCTCCTCATCCGAGTCCAGAATGGGCAGGGCCGAATCGCCCATGGAGGAGGGTATGTTCTCCTCCACCCAGCGCAGATCGTCCTCCTCGTTGTTCGTGGCATTTCGTGAGGTCGTCGACGTTTTCGGCGTTCCATTCTGACCGCGCATTTTAACGCCATAGGCATCGGCCACAAACTGATCCTCCTCTTCTGTTAAAAGAGTAAAATTAGTTACTGTTTACTGGCTATTTTCTAGGTCCACTCACCCTCATCGTCTTCATCTTCCGGGTTATCCAGCAGCGGGGTGAAGGCATATCGCTGGTTATTATTCGTCGGTCGCCAAAGTATCATAATCACCAGCAGCAGCACCGAAAACAGAATGTGCCAAAAGCCAGTATCAATCCAAATGTCACGCCAGCCCTAAATGAAGCGTGAAAAAGCATTTCAAATAAGTAAATCTCCGCCTCACAGCCAAGTTTATGCTAATCATCAACTCACAGGCGTACAATTCTCGATCCTACGCAAACGCAGGGCAAACAGCATGAAGATGACGGAGGCGATAACAGCAAATATCAGCGTGTTGGTAAAGTGCCTATACAGCGATAGCTTGACCATGTTCCTGGAATATTTATATACGTTTAAACATAAGTTTGTTTGGGCTTTCGCATGAGTCACCTTCGCAGCCTGAGTGTGCGAGTTGTTTGCACCAGGGAGGTGAAGATCCACCAGCATATTCCAGTATCCAGAACCGCCAGGGGAATGCTGGCAACCAGCAGCTCGCTGCGATCGGTCTTTACATTCGTGATACGCAAATAGCTCTCCACGCAGGCCAGCACAAAGTAGAGGGTTCCCACGCCCACCACGCGGTGCAACATGGGTCCCAAACGGGGTCTAAAAAAGATAAGGTACAATATTATCAATTGAATTCAGGGGTTTCCCTACTTATAGCTAGGTTTTAAGTGATTAGGTGCCTCTGTTGCAGCAGGAGAACCACGTAAGCCCTAGTAGTTCTAGTTTACTACCAACAACTGCTTTGGAATTAATTAAACGAGAACGGGTTTCAAGTGGTCGTGGTTATAAGACAGCTGCTTCGTGTCGTTTTTCCTTACTTGACGATTCCAAAGCCCAGGCTCATGATGATGACCAGCATCCTGGCCAGCGTGCGCTTCGCACAGGACACAAACTCGGCGACGAGCTCGGCATGCTGAACAGCAAATCCCTTGTTCGTCAGCGTTTGGTATTCCGCGTAGAAGAAGGCCTTCTCCAGCATTCCCAGCAGTATGACGCCACCGATCCAGAACTGTATCCTCAACAAATCCCGCCATTGGGCGAAGGAAACAAACAGCCAAATGATGCCAAATATCACGTAAACAATGCACATGATTAAATAGAACTGGTGGGAAAATAAACGTATTAAATATAAACAAAGTCAATTTCGGAATTACTCATTATTTACCGGCAGGAAGGGCCAGTCTATGGCCGAGATATAACCGTGCGGCCCCAGGAACTCTATGTGCACCACGGCACTGAACTTTACGCTCGGCGGCACTGCGATGATCACTTCAATTTCGTAGATTCCATCGTCCTTGACGCTCGCAACTGGGTTTGTTGTGGGCTGAAATGAAAAGGGAGTCGTTTAATTACTGCGTGGCAAGTGTTTTATCGGTATTTCGGATTTTCTACATCAAAGAACACTGGTTTATGTGCGTAGAAACGCCTTAGTCGACTATTTGTTACCGATTAATACCTTTTTTCTATGTAAATGCGAAAGTTTAAAAAAAATAATTCTGTTATTCTTACAATTTTGATACGAAAATAATGATTAATTAAAATGAATTCTATATTGCTTTATGTTACATTACATTTCCTAGGAATTTTTCTATTTGTTACCGTTTAATAGTTATTTTCTATGTAAATGCGATAGTCTAAAGAAATCATATTGCTATTCCTAAAATTTGTATACTTAAATGATGAGTAATCAAGATAAATTCTATATTGCTGTATGTCACATTACACTTCCTAAGAATTTTTCTACCTACATATGTTAAGCAAAAAACTATATGCCCTCTCTCTACTTTTAAGTACCCTGCTATTTTTGGAGAAACGATAAGCGTACTGATAAGGCGAAACCCTCAAATGTTTTTGGGCTTGTCGCCTGGTAATTGGTGTCTCCTACTTTTCGCTGATTTATGTCGCATTTACCGAAAGCGGATGTTTGTTCTCCAGCATGGGATGTTTGGGCTCCGGCGTTCCAGGTGCTGCTCCCTCAGCCGGCTTATCCTTGTTTCCTGCCAGGACAATGAGGACATTGCAGGGATATGACCTGGTGATTTCGGTGATAACATTATTAATGCTGCTGTTGGTCGACAGCTTGCTATCCTGGGCGATGGCTTGTAGCTTTAAGAAGATAATACAGATTGGATTAGATAGAATCAAGTACCATCTGGATATAGAGTACCCACCAGGCGATCGTCGTAGATGCAGGGGTGCTCCGTCAGCCGGAAGGTGACGGTGATGTTGCCATCCAAATTGCAGCCCTTGACTGGAAAATCGGGTGGCGGCGGAAAGGAAGGGGGTTAATCAGTGGCATTCGTCACGCGTTTTTTACTCACTTTGAGCGTAGATCTTCGTGTCGGCCAAAAGTGGACGCTGCTCCCGGATGCTGGGCAAGTCCTAAAGGGATTATAAACAGGATATATCCATGATTACGTAGCCGGAAACGGAATAATCCCCGATAGGTTTTTGCTTGGGGTGGTACACATATTTACCGTCGTCACCAGGACGTCCACAATGCCCGGATCCGATTTTCCGGCCGTTTGCGAGGGGCCAAGGAGTAGCGCCAACGCAACCACCAAAACCGCTGCCGTTCCCTGCATTTTGCAAGAATTTGACGTGTTGTGTGTGCGTAAAGTAAATATAATACAATAAAATATTATTTCCTCCGATTAGTAGTAGGACCGTAGTGTGAATGGGCGGAAAACACTAAAGAGCGCGGTTTAGTGTGACCGCACTCGCCATCAGCTGGTGATATAACCCGACTTTGACATCTGAAAACGCCGAAATGTTCCGCAGGGTAAATAAACTTGAAAATCTATTAAATTCTCTATTAAAATTCGTGTATTTTGTTATTATAGATAATTCCAAGTGTGCGGCTAGCGCTGCAAGTGCCCGGGGCAACCACTACCGCTGTGAGGAACACCAGTGGTAGTGTTTATGAACCGGACTATCTGGAGGTGGGTTCTTCAATGGTCTACTAGATCTTCGTTTTTGTGCTCTTGCAGGGAAATGATAATTTTCTAGGAAATTATACTTATAAACAGGCTTTAAATAATGATTACCCGGATATTCCATCTTATTTCTGATAGAACTAATATCAATTTTATTAATCCAATAAGAATAACTTTGTGATACTTGATATATGGCTATTTGATCATAGGAGAAGCATATGTACATATCTTTTCCTGATTTTATATGTTTTAATTTTGACGGATTACCATATTACATCTATTAGAATAGATGTCTTTCTATATTTTTAATATTTCGAGGATTTTATAATAATCATCTGTTTATTTCTGAACTGTCTTAGTTCTACAAGGAAATGCTATACAAATCTCATGCTTCTTGGTTTTTGAATAAGAAGATCTTTGAGGTTCTTGGGGTGTATATCCTTTAGTATTGACGGATATTACATCTTTTAGAAAGGATGTCTTCCTATATTTTTAATATTTCAGGGATTTTATAAGAATCATCTGTTTATTTCCGAACTGTCTTAGCTCTACATAAAAAAGCTTGGAAAATATCGTGCTTCTTGGTTTTTGAATAGGAATATCTTTGGGGTTCTTGGCGTGTAGGATAGTTAGAATAGAATAACCAATCCCCATCATATACTAACTTCTTTTTCCCCTCTCTTTCAGTCCCTCAAGCCGAAATTCCCGCAGTACGATAGCCTGAATGTCCAAATCAAGGGCTATGACTACCCGCAGCTGGAGAGCTACCAGCGGTTTCTCCACGGAGTGGCCGAGTACCTGGACCTGGACGTCTCCGATTGCTACGCCCTGCCGCCGCAGCAGACGCAGGTGCAGCGGCTGCGACCCAACTCCACGGTCATCGAGTCCGAGTACAAGCTGACCACCTACGAGCGCAATCTGCAGCTGAACAACGTGGATGCGCCGGTCTATCCGCAGTTCCTGCGCCTCGCCCAGGCTGCCCTGCCCGAGGGAGTCAGTCTGAAGGTGCAGGAGCACACCGACGACTGCGAGGAGCGACGCTATGTGCCCGACAAGGAGCTGCTCGACCTCAAGGACGAACTGGAGCGCATGGGCGGACCGACCACCACCAAGAAGAAGTAGTAGTGCTCCGATTTGGCAAACATTTAATGCTAAGCTTTAATGAGTAACCTGTGTAAAGAGTAGAGAGAACCTATGAGTAAAAACTTTCCTATTTAAAGCTTTGCACTAACTGGGACGGCAGTGGTTTTTTAAAACGATTGGAAGACGCAGCTCTTAACTTAGGAATTGCACTATGAATTATTAGACGACGCCAAAGTGGACAACCTTGATGGACGAGGAGTTGCCGCTCTTGCTGCTGCTCTGCTTGGGCTCCTCCTCGCGACGTCGAATGGGCGGTTTGGTTACATCTAAAAGGACAACATGGTTTTAATGAAGTACTCATAATTATTGTTTAAATATAAACCCACTGGTGGTAATAGGATTAAAGTCCTTCAGATACTCATCGTTGGGATGACAAAGCGGCAAGCTGTCGGCCAGTTCCTTTTTGGGATTGGTCAGATGGCGTGCTGTTGGTCGCGAGTAACCATTTCTCTTGGGCGGCATGGGCTTTTCCTTGCGGGGAATCTCCTAAAAGATAGTTAGTTTTTAATAATGCATACACATTTAAATTTGTAATTAGTTTACCGGCACCACGGCCACTTGTATTGTGTCGGAGAACTTGACTTTGTTCTTCTCGGCCGTTTGTGACTTGGCAGTCGGCGTGGCTGCCTCTCCGTTTGTAGGATTCGCAGGATTTGCTGGGTTAGATAGAATGGATGCAGTGGGCTTTTTGAGCAGTAGACGCTTCTGATACTCCTCGCTGGTCACCGAGGGCAACATGGCGGGTATATTGCCAGAGACAAGCGGATGCTGATAGAACTTGGGCTGATAGGCTGCTGCCGTCGGTGGAGGCGATGCTGTTGTTATTGTGTTGAATTGACCAAGCTGGGCAGTTTGCTCTGGTACATTGGCGGGCGCAAGGCGGGGAAGCGGACTGATGGGCAGACCCACTGTTTGATCAGGAACGTCCTGGGACCACAAATTGCCTGGTAATAGAATTCAATGATTAATTAATGCTTATAAAGTGGAGGCTGCATGAATGTTTTTTTTGTTTTATATGAATGAATTAATTAGAATTTTGAGTTTAATAGATTCGAATGAATTTGAATTTTGAGTTTAATAGAATTGAATGAATGAATGGCATGAATACCGAAATAATTCAAACGGCAATTTTTTTGAAGAAGAAAGGGCCTTAATTTTGTGATAAGATAACATTGATAACATTGATTTGTTAAAAAAGTTCCACTTTTTGTTCTCAAAAGAAGGCAAAAAAAAACTGTCAAATTCAAAAAATTCATAAAAATTATTCATTCATTCATTCAATTCGAAATGAATTAGAAAAACATTAAATTTGTTCACATAGAATAGAATTAAACAAATCAGAAATTTCATGGCATACTATGATAAAACAAAAATTGAATGATTCACGCAGGGCTCTATTATAAAGATTTGTTTATGCTCCACCTACCATTTGAATTTAAGGTCTTCAGCGGCGCCTGCTGCAGACTGTTGCTCTTCAAGGAGAGACTCGCCAGCGAAGTGGTGGGTGGTGCTATGGAAACCTTTGGCAAGGGTGGTCTCAGTTCCGGTTTGGGTATGTTGATCTTGATCATCTCAGCATTGAACACCTTCGACTTGAACGAGGGCAGCGGTGGCACGTAGTTCTTTAGGATCTGTTGATTCTGCGGCTGTCCAGTGGCTGCTCCTGTTGCCACAGCCTGAACACGCATTAAATCCGAGCAGGTGGACAGCGAGCAGGCAGATTCGGAGCGCAGGTCACAAGTCAGACTGAGATTGCCGTTGGCACGATCCTCTTCATGGATTATGGCAGCTGCCTGACTGAAAGCCACCTGGGCAAATTCGCTTAGACTGGAGATGCACTTGGTGAGATTGTACAGATCCATGAAGATGTCATAGTCGGCCACATCCTGGGCAATTTCAAAGGCCTCGGCAAAGAGGTTTTTACTGCATAGAAATAAGTTATTTATTTAGTATTTAAGACTGGGTTCGGAAAATAACACACACTGTAAAAAACTTGTGTTATTAACATGTTAAATGTCAAAGTGTTAGGTTCAAAAAATGTATTGACTTATGTGTAAAAAATGGTATCCTACATATGTTAGAAACATAAATAACATACACATGTCATTTGTGTTATTTACACGACGTGTTATTAACACGACATGTTTTTTACACAGCGTGTTTTTAACACAATGAGTTTTTGACATTAAAAATTTTAAAAATGCACTGTTTTCCAAAGTATTAGAATTCATATATGTATGCTTTGAAATGGTTAAAACTAACATATAAGATATCATTTTCCCTTCGACTCGTTAATGTCAGTAAAATGTAATTTTCATTTGTGTTAAAAACACAGTGTGTAAAAAACACGTCGTGTTAAAAACACATTGAGTAAAAAACACAAGTGAGCTGTGTGTGTTAACAATTATTTTTCACATTTAAACACTTTTGTATTTGACACACATGTCAACAATTTTGCTCACACGGTAAAATAAAATTTTTCATGTTTTTAACATATGTGTCAAATTAGAACCCTGATTTAAACTCACCGCAGCAGGAAGAAGCAAAAGCGTCGCTTAAGATCGTAAACCTGATCGCTAAACTCATCCTTCGTTTCCTCGGAAAGCGTGTGTGCGAAAGTCTTGAGGGCTCTGGCCATCAGCTCGATGCGAGGACGTCGCTGATCCCCGCCAAAGAACACATAGTTGGCTATCTTGTGCAGGGTGATCAAACACATGGCTCCGTAGGTCTCCCAATTAAGAGCAGCCAAAACATTCACCGCTCTGTCCGGCTGCTGCAGTCGCAGATACTTGTCCGCTATGACATCCGCAGTGAGACCGGAATTGTGGATATCACCCCTCATCCCAGTGCCGCCGAAGATGCGCATGCAGGCCAAGGGTCCCTGTTCGTAGATCAGCAACAGCAGGCAGTCTGTCTGGGCGTAGGTGTGCTTGAACGTGGCCAAATCCGGCTTCCTGCTGAAGGCGACGCTCAGCAGCGTTGGCTGGGCCACAAAGTAGTGCGATAAATCCAGCAAACTCGACGGCGTCACACTCTCGCTGACCAGCTGATGGCCAATGGTGGCCAAAGCGAGATCGAAGCACTGCAGCACCGAACGCTCGTTGGCCACGCACAGCATGGCGGAGTCGCAGTGCCAGGCGCACTGATTGGGGACAATCTCAATTTGGTTGGCGTACTTCGTCGACTGCTGAACCAAGTCGTGCAGGCATATATTCCGATCGATGCTACCCAGGAAGAGCTTCTCCTGGTCGGGACTGAAGGCAAAAGAGCAGATTTGGGCGCCCATGGGTATGGAGGTGATGGCGGTGCGCTGCATTTTCCCAGCAGCCAGTTCGTAGGAGCAGATCTCGGCGCTAATGTCGCCCTTGCGGGAAACCTTCTGCTCCAACGTGATGATCTGGCTCTCGCTGCTCCGCAGGAAGTCCACGCAAAGTGGGTCGTTCTCCGACCAGCAATAGGCAATCGATTCCAGCTGTAAACTATAGGGAAAATCATTAAAATGGGTTTTTAAATAGGAGCTAGAGCCCTGCGTGAATCATTCAATTTTTGTTTTATCACAGTATGCCATGAAATTTCTGATTTGTTTAATTCAATTTTATGTGAAATAAATTGAATGTTTTTCTAATTTATTTAAAATTGAATGAATGAATGAATGAATAATTTTTATGAGTTTTTTGAATTTGCCAGATTTTTTGTGCTTTCTTTTAAGAACAAGAAGTGGAACATTTTTAACCAATCAATGTTAACTGCATAGTATAGAAAATTCAGGCAGATTTAATCACAAAACTATGGCCCTTTCTTTTTCTAAAGAAATTGTCGTTTGAATTATTTCGAAATTCATGCCATTCATTCATTCAATTCTATTAAACTAAAAATTCAAATTAATTCAATTCTATTAAACTCAAAATTCAAATTCACTCAATTCTACTAGACTCAAAATTCTAATTAATTTATTCATTTAAAACAAACAATTCAAAATAATTCATTGAATCCATTCATGCAGGGCTCTAATAGGAGCTACCATGCTTACCCCTTAATCTTAAACACATGAATGTTGGCTCGATCCTGATCCCTTATTGTCGGCCTCCAGGGATACACTTCGTTCTGCGAGGACTGCGTCCAGACCACGAAGAGATCGAAGCTTCCATTGACTGTCAGGTGGCGGGATAGTTTGCGTTCGGTGGCGCCCGGTATGATCACGTGGAAGATGCGCGGATCCATGTTGGCGATCTTCTCCGGCCCCTGGGACCGCGCATTGGGCCTCTGCAGATGCACCACCGTCAGCTGGTTGGTATTGTAGGCCAAGACGATGTGGGAACGGGTGAAAAAAGCTGGCGAGACAACGAACAAAAACACAGAAGACACAAGCGACAAAGCTGAATGAGTGCCTCGAACAAAACATGGAAAGCTGGGGGAGATCGGAAATTCAGGGAGGTTCAGGGGTTCGGGGTTCGCATATTTACAGGCAACAAAACAAGCTAGCAGATTAATTAAAAATTACAATAATTGCATGCCCCTGCTTGTGTGCGTGCGGCTGTGTTGGTGTGGGAAAGTGCAAATCAAGTCGCACTTGTTGCCAATGCAAATTTCTCCATAACTGCACAAGCAGCGCTCTGAAGTGCAAGGCCAAGAGATCCGAAGATCCGGAGTCTGCTCTACGGAATTGGGAATACCCTTGGTTTTTATGATCCAAAGATTATAATCTTGCATGGTCTTGAAGGAAGGTCTTGAAAGGGTTTACTTAAGATCGAAGATATTTTTAAGGTAGTATACGAGTTTTCATGGTTATGCACTCAAAATAAATTTAACCTTAAATTTTAGAAAATTGCCATTAAAATTTTTTTTTCTAAATACAAGAAAGTTATTTATAAATCTAAGGAAATTTTTCTTATGTCAAGAAAGTTTTTCTTAAATCAAGGAATTTTTTCTTAAATGTAGAAAATGGTTACCATGAACTAAAATCACCCTAAAATCTAGAAAAAATGCCCTTAGAACTAGAAATTATTTTCTAAAAAATAGAAAGGCAAACGAAATTAATAAAATATTTTGGCAACACCTTTTCTGAAAATTAGTGCCCAACTCTAAAATTAAGCCAATTTAGTTTAGAAAAATTTTAATTTAAAGATCTTTTATCATCTTTAAATCTTGAAATAAATTACCTATTTATATATTTCAAAGAGTAATAAATAATTAAAATACAGTCATGTTGCTTGGTGATTTACAGGCACAAATGAGTTCTAAAGACGCTTGAGAAAAGAAGCTCTAATTATGCGTAGAAAAGACATTAAATATAGCATGCTGAGTGGGTTTTGCACTAGAGAAGGGTACATATTTAAATAAAGCGATTTTTGAATAAGTTGTTTCCAAGAAAAGCGCTTTCCAGCTGAGTTTTACATGCAGAAAGGTAAAGCCTATGATTGATGGATGACTTTTATAGTGCAGGTAGAAATGGTGTGAATTACATGCAATTTCCATTGGGCAGATATGTACTTACCATCTGTAATAACCTCGGAGGCGAGTTTTCCAACCAAGTACTTTTCGAAGACCATTCGCAGGATGTCGCCCGTGTAGATGTCCACGCAAATGTGGGCAATCAGGCCGTGGGAAAACAGGAGCAGCACCTGCGCCGCATCCTGCCACTCGGAATGGATGATCCTGTGCTGACGCAGCAGATCCTCCAGCTTCTTGAGGTTGTCCTTCAGGCGACCCGTCGACTTGCGACTTGAGTTCTTTAGGACGGCCAATCCATTGCGCCGTTCCGTGTAATCCCGCTTGGCCAGGCACGTGAGGTCCTGCTGCTCCTGATCCTTGTCCCGCTGCCGCAGGTAGCGAAAGGCCCCCAAATCGTGGCTCTTGATCCGCACCTCCTCCCGCAGCGTCGTCCAGAAGTGGGTCTCGCTGAGCAGCATTATTCAGGCCTCGATCGCATCGATTTGCATCGCGGAATCGGAATGGGTGTCAACTCAATTCTCGATCTCGTTTCGTTGGCGTGTTTTGCCTTTCAAGCTGCTCCAATTGCACTGATTACCCGAGTTCCAGGCTAATTTCGATGCTCTGCAGCTGCTCACTGTCTCGGGATCAACGGAGGACACAAGATATACGCCAAAACATCACTTTAACTGGGGTTTTTTCGTTTCAATACACTTTGTTTATGAAAATAAAATACACTTGTTGCTCAAAACGTTTGCGTTACGTTGTTGTTGCGTTACGTACTTGCTGTGTGACCGTTCCGACTAAAAATACCACCTGACCATTAAAATAAATACCATATCAATTTTATTAAATACCATTAATTAAAAAAAAAGTTCATTTAATTTACGATTTTAAATAAACTATAAAATTAATTCACATTTTTGTTTATGTTTCGGTTGTGCTGCATCTCTTTCGCCACTGATTAATCTTCGTTAAAGTTTCTCAGTCACGATTAAATAAAAAAATTATAACGTATTTAATGAATACTGAACTTGATAAACTTTTCTATGATTTTAATTTTAGATTATTTTTTTTTTAATTTTATAAATTTGTAGTTTAAATTTCAAAACATTTTTTCGGTCGTTCATTGTTCGACTGATCTTCTTAATTTATCCAAACTTTCATTAAAATACAAATTTGTTCTTAAAAAATGTATCCTTTTAAATTTCAAAGAAATAACAAGCATTCCGTAAGGCGTTTACTATTTATAAGGAGAAACATATTTTTTTAAAATTCAAGTTTCCGTTGTCAGCATTTTTTAACCTACAATATTTGTAAATATGGCTTAAATTTGACAAGCGTATGTCATTTTATGACCGTCAAATGGAAGTAGCGAAAGCCTACCATAAACCAATAAATCACTTTTTCTCAGTTATGCAAAAAAATATTATCTTGGCGAAATCAGCTTATCTCATCGCACTTTTTATTGGCAAGCAGTCTGCTTGCCTAAGTTGAACTATGATCGGTCTGCAGACGTCGTTGATAAGATAATGGTCTGCATTAAAGACCCTTGCGATGGGCAGAGCACGACGACCGGCATTAAACAATAAACGACTGGATTATTTTTAAACAAAAGTGTTGTATTTATTGATTTCACCACTAAATCAGATTGCAATCAATTATTCACAGTAGTTTTCTTCGTTCTTTGCTCGTTATCGATGAAATACGTTTTTTGGGGGCGGGGGGCACTATGGCTCTCAGTGGAGCTCACTAACTAGCTAACTAATGGACTAAATAAACAGCAATAATAATAATAATATTAATAATCATAAGTGTAATGGTAGAGTAATGGTAACTAAAATGTATATCGCATTTGAGGAAACTTAACGGAAACTTTTACAAATTACGGTTACAGTTACGTATATCGGATCGGTCGGTTTTATATTAATATATATATATAGCGGCATCTACTGGCAACTGCGGCCGATTCAACATTTTTTGTGCTTACAACTAACAAAACTAGGGAGCCATATTGCAACGCCAGTCGACTCACTCTTTATCTATTTACAATACACTCTGAGCGAATCGAATTCTATTTACACTACTATATCAAAATATCAACCACGTTTATACACTCAATATATATTGTATCTTTAACTAAATAGCAGCCTTTTCAAATTTTGATAACGTTTGTTTTTCCGCATTTTTCAAACTTAGATCCTTTTATGGCATATAGCAAAGTGTTGTTTCCTTTTTTTTTGTTTTTTTGGATGGTGCATTTCGATCCTGGTGCGTGTTTTCTGTTTGTATTATTGGCCAACGTTCAACGTCTAACGTCTTAAGTCTATCGAGTTCGTTTCATATCCGACTTAGAAGCTAGTTAACTAAGAATTTGCGCTCGTTGGTTTGGATCGTCTAAAAAAATGGGTTACAATTACAATTAAGTTGCAGCAGTCGCGTCTACATATGCACAGATTGGGTTCCACCTCCTCGTATGTTAACTAGTCCTTGATCGGGGATTCTCCGACTGAATAATGCTGTCTAAAAGTCGTAGAACTCGTTCGATTTGTTGTTGAAGCGCCGGGTGAGGACATAGACGACTGCCTCGTAGGTGGCCATCATGATCGCCGTGTTGGGAATCTGTCGCACCAGCTGCGTGGCCAGGCCTCTATAAAGTGGACAATAAAAGCAGATGGCGGAATTAGTAAAATAATTGCACTACAAATACTAGAGTATATCATATAAAACACGGCGAGTGAGCACGCCGCTAGTGATAATCAAATTAAGGTAAACAAACAAAATAATATGCGACGCAAAAGAATTTAAATAGACTTCACGAATTCGTGGGTGGCGCATTATCATAATTCATTAGCAATGAACAAGCAAAAACTTGGCATCCGTGTTAAATGTTTGTTTCTTATTTAAGATGGGAGAGAATATTTTTATAAAGTATATAGATGTTTTATAAATATATTTTTTTATTATTTTTGTACACAAAATCTATGGAATTCCCTATAATTCAACTGTGAATTACCAGACCATACAAAATCAGTCAAATGTCAAAGCAATTTAAAGTAAATCCCCACAACAAATAAGTAAAAATAAATTAATAGGTTAAAGTGGAAGTGTACTTTTGTGTGATAGATAGAAAGGTATTCATTGGAATCCCCATTTATTTACTCATTACTTATTTTTTATAGCATGCGAAAGGGAACCCCTTGATTAATGACTGATTAAATAGAACATTTCCTCTATTAATCACTATAATAACCCACCTATAGAGTCCTGCTCTGCCCTCCTCCTTCCAAACTGTGTGCAGAGTCTGCCAGAAGGAGTTGTACTTGTTGCCCTCCTCCCGCAGACGAGTTCGAGCCACTTCATGGGGATACGCGATGCAGGAGGCAATGGTTTTGGAAACCGCCCCAGCCATCATGAATTCCAGGAAGTCTCGGGATCCCTTTGTGTCCGTATGCCGCTGATTTCGCTGCTCCAGCTTTATAAATAAAAAGAATCCAAAATTAGAAAAGAATCGAAAATAAATCGAAATAATAACTTACCAACTTGGACTTGATAAACTCGTAGATGACAAAGTGAACCATAGTCTCGCAGATTCCAAAATAGCTGGCCGTGATGCCCTTGTAGAAGGCAGCAACGCCTCCCTGGGCATAGACCCTCTCGATGCACTGCCTCACGGTCATCTGCACCTTGGAGTTGTAGTCCAGCTGCATCCGCGTCTTCACAAACCAAATGGGATTGGTGGCGGTGGAGGAGACGAAGCCAGCACTCGCTGCACTCATTATGTGCACCAATGGCGAGTCACGTTCAACAAAGCTGGGGATTTAAATCGAGGTATTAATAGGGCAATTTAAATATAATCTCTCCTGTGGTGTCCCAGAAATATCTAAATTTTTTTGGCAGGAAGAAAAATTCTAAAAACAAATCCGTCGCAAAAAAAAATGCAGGAAAATTCGTCGATAAGTGAAATCATTTTCTATTTCTTTTTTAATCATATTTATTTGTGATTTAAATTGGGCAGTTTTTCTGAGTTTTAAAATGTTTGTTTTTTGTTTTTTTTTTTTGTATTTTATGGAACCCCGATATTTGATTTTTGGTTTTAATTTGATGGAAAAAAAAAATTCTAGAATATCCGTCGATAAGTGAAATCGTTTTCTATTTTTTTAATCATTTTTATTTGGTTTTTATACCCGTTACTCGTAGAGTAAAAGGGTATACTAGATTCGTGCAAAAGTATGTAACAGCTAGAAGGAAGCGTTTCCGACCCCATAAAGTATATATATTCTTGATCAGGGTCACTAGCCGAGTCGATCTAGCCATGTCCGTCTGTCCGTCTGTCCGTCTGTCCGTCTGTCCGTCTGTCCGTCTGTCTGTCTGTATGAACGCTGAGATCTCGGAAACTACAAAAGCTAGAAGGTTGAGATTTTCCACGCATATTCTTGGGCTTCCTACGCAGCGCAAGTTTACTTTAGCCGAGTGCCACGCCCCCTCTAACGCCCACAATCGCCCACTAACGATTTTGAAATGGGTCCTGCGCCCACATCTTTAAAGATTTCCGAGAAGTATAATTGCAATTTTGTTGTGTATATTTATACCTATCGAAATGTAGAAGACATTTTTCAAATCGGACCATTCATTAAAAAGTTATACGCAATCAAAAATTATATATCTATCTCCCTCGCACTCCCTTTAGCTGAGTTACGATTATTAGTCGGGACACCAACCCGACACGGCGTTCGCACTCCCTTTAGCTGAGTGACGGGTATTAGATAGTCGGGACAACAACCCGACTATAGCGTTCTCTCTTGTTTTGGTTTAAATTTGATGGGAAAAAAAATTCTAGAATATTTTATTCCACGAATTTTTTCAATCATTTTTATTTGTGATTTAAATTGGGGGGTTTTTTCTGTGTCATAAAATGATTTTTTTTTTGTTTTAAAATTTATGGAACCCCGATATTTGATTTTTGGTTTTCGTTTGATGGGATACCTTAGTTATACAAAACTTACCCCAAACTGTTGAGCGTGTTTTTGGTTTGTGAGTAGGTGCAGAAGTAGATGGCACGGGAGGGGGCCACGCCCACGAGATTCGGACCCAGACCTTTGAACAGAGCGCGGGGACCCTCGTTTTGGACAATGTGTCTATAAAAACGGATATATAAGAACTTGATTTCAGATATTAAAAACTATAACTACTTACCGCAGGCACTGCACGATGCTCATGGATTTGGGGGTTGTGGATGAGATGCCGCAATGGGAAATGGCCATGATCTGCAAGGGCGAAAATAAACACTTTTGATTAGAGAATCATAAAAATTAAATTCGTGGCAATGGAGATGAAGGTATCGAAGGTGTTAAAGGCTGCTCATGTGTTTCTTTTTTTAATCAGGTTTTAGGATTAGGGCTTGAGCTCAAGCTAGTTAGGATGCAGTGGCAAGTAATGGATTTAGATGGGGGATGAGAGAATAGGTAAAAAGAATTTGGTACTACCCTACGCACACCCCCAATCACCTGTGGCTGTGATCTGTTACGTAATATCGTTGTGCTTAGCTTACGTCGTTGTTCCGGCCGCAAAAGCTCCGATTGGCCACCGTTCGCCGGTCCTCCGGCATTCTCCGCCAGACGCGACGGCGTCATGAAAGCCGTAGAGCTCTGCAGACGGGTCTTCACCACCTCCAGGGGACATGTGACCACGGCGCCCACCGTGCCAGCGGATCTACAGACAAGAAAATTAAATAAAAATAAAACAATAAGTAATATGTCGACTAAAAATAGGGGATAGCAACTAAAATCGAGGGAGGAATATATCATATACAGTAAAACTTAGAATTATTATTTCCTAACCAATAAAATACCGAATTAAGATCTTTGGAACTTCGAAAATTATATTTATTGCACATTACATTTAATTTTATATAATTTCACTAAAATTTGAAATTTTTTTAGATCCTTTTATCTTTTTTTTTTACTTGACAAAGAAGCCGATTTTCTAATTTTTGCGTAAAATACAACTTTAAAATGTGAAATCTTGATTTCAATATAAATAACAACGCTTAATTTTCCCAAAATAGTAGTAAACATTTGAAATCCTAATTTATTTCTTTATATTATATATATAATATTTAAGATTTATTGAAAATAAAAATAAAAGCTCCTGAAAAATATATACTGCTCATATTTTCCCTCCCCCCGTTTTCAATGGCAAATGTTCAACTATGAATAACATAAAAATAAATCTCATTTGGCAATCGAGCAAGCAGAAAAAAATCTATTTCCCCAACTCGTATTTCTTGGATTTGCGCAATTCCTTTGCTAAAAATGTGTGTTCCATTCTGTGCATCTAATATAGCCAACTACTTGAGTGTCTTGTCGCCCCTTCCACTTCAATTTCGATTTTAGGTGGTGGGCATTTTTGATTGGCTGCATCGGAAATGAATAGCATTTTGCCTAATGCAATGAAAGGGTTGCGGTTGGGGAAAATCAAGGAAATCAAAGAAAAGCGAGAAGGAATGGGGCGGCAGTCCATCAAGTAACCCAAGCAAATTATACAAAATTTTCTATTTCAATTCATTACGAATTCCAAGTGCATGTAAAGCAAGGTCAGATGATTGTTTACTGAATTGTGAAATAGGTGAAATAGCTGAAAGTAGATGCAAAATAAAAATGTGTGAAAAAATAATTTGCAGCTGTCAGTCATACGAAAATTTAAGGAACATTTTAAGATAAATTTCTATTAGGTTATAAATTTTGTTATATCATTAAATTCCTAAACCCAGCTACCTTAACCTTGACTTTAAGTTTACTTTGGGTTTAAAAGTTGTTTACAAAAATTAATTATACACGACCTTTCCCAAAAGCCAACACTGATTACCCTCTCTATCAACTTTGTTATCTAGAAGTTGAGTATACAATATTTGCAGAAGCATAACTCGTGATCGCAAACTTGTAAATTGGCAGTTGGCAACCGGGAACCGTGAAATTAAATTATTATAATCGGTGGCAATAAACTCGCGAAATGGTAGAAAAAGGTTATGCAACAAAGGGAACAGAACAGAGAGGCGGAAATTAAATGGTTGGAGAAAAGTCGGAAAAAAGTTTGATCGATGAGTAGATATACTTTGGGGACAGACACGAATGTCTACGTTAATCCCAGAGGAAAAAAAACACAAAATGTAATCAACTGTCTGGTTAAGGGAATGGGAATTGCTTTTCCCTCGTTTGATTTCGCAAATCTGGCGGCGATTGCCGTGATTCCAGTGATTCCAGGCTATGAAAAACCAGTCCCAACTGGTTCCAGATTGACCCGGCTCTACTTTCGATAACCTTTGATGCCTGCCAGCGGATGAATTGCAATGACCGGACAAAAGCAGCCTCCTCTTATCGGTACTTTTAGAATTGCCTATCAGCAAAGCACACCCATTAAAACATATAGTACTTCTATGGTTGCCCGATCCGCTTCGAATCTGGTATGCATATATGTCTCCCGACTATGACATAATTGCCCTGGAACCGGTGGCTAATTATGTCCAGAGAGCGAGGAAAACACGCCACCATATGCTGCCTTTTGGTAATTTAATCTAGATACTTTCTCCCCTCTAGCTGGTCAATAAAAATTAATCACATTTAATCAATGCATTAGCGGGAAGCTCGACTATTGAATTTCAATTAGCATCTGCCCGGCACATCACGCGAAAATAAAGCAAATTGTACCCCATTCCATGGCGAACAGAAAGTAATTTAGACAGACAGTTGGGCAAACAATACAAGGATAAGGAAAACTTTACTAGAACAGTTGACTGACTTGGGAAATGAGGTGATTAATGATTGGACTAACTGGTTAAAGGTGATGAATTAAAGACTAGAGTGTGATAAATGAGAGTTACAAATTAATTAATAGCTCAAATGTTACAATAAAAGATCGTAAATTAACATTTTACAAAAAATGATAAGGTTGTCTGTTAAAATAAAATTTGTTAAGTATAATAACCCATCTATTTAAAGCTAAATACTTTGTAATCAATTCTGTTTTCCAGCAATACATTAAGGGAATAATAGCAAGTCATGCTTCTAATAAGAAAACTAACTAAGTAGATCGCAATATCAGTTTGATCGCCAATATAATTTATTCCAAATAAATATTCTGTTCACATATAAAAAGAATTCTTTAAAAATTCAGAAAAATCTGTTGTTTGTTTGTGAAATGTGAAACATGTGAAATTCCCAATTCTTAAGGTTTACATGTGCATCCAAGTACATTCGGACGGATTCTCAAGATCCACAAAGCTATATAGATTCCCCCGATCGATGGCCTTTGGCATGTGCGACGCATGTGCGAAAATCGTGCCATTTGCAACCGGTTAATGTGCGATTTATCTGTTCTTTGACATTGCTTCGGAGTACATTTGTTCCCCAAATATAAAAACACACGCGTTGCAGAGATAAGAGCGGAAATTTTGGACCCCGCAGACATCGTCTATGGGTTGTATGAAAAAAAAGGAATACAAGTGGGCCACATGTATTCGGTGTGATAATTGGTAATGCGTCAGCCTCTGCTGGGGTGACTTTTGTCCAGCTGCTTAAAGAAAACCCCCCCTGACACCTTCAATCATATTTCTGGCTGATAAAGACGCCTTTTCGGGGAGACTTGGCTTATCAAAAAGTATATAGTACGCATATTTCAATAGCTTTTGCGTTTCGCAGACCTAACTTCCCATCTTATCAATGCCGTTTTTTTATTTTCACGTTTTTTTTTTGGCTCCTGCTGCTTTTGGCTTCTTTCTCAGATTACGAAATCTATGGAAAGTTTTCAATGTTATTGTTTATGGGTCAAAGGAATCGAAGGTTAAGAAAGAGGACTACATTTTGCTGATAGTTGGGCCTATCTGGAGTTTAAAAATTCTAGGTAGGCTAATTTAACGATTAAATATTCTAAAATTAGCATTAGGTTAATTAAAATTCGTATTATTTTCGAATAAAACTTGGCACGCGACCTTCTGTATTTTTCCCGCTTTTTTCTTTCGCTTTTCTGGGTGTTTTCTATATGTTGGTTTATATGTGGATATATTCTCAATATTAAGAATATGTGTCTAGATCAAGAGTATAATAAAACAGGCGCCCTTGACACAATTTTAGCTTTGACAAGTGACTAAGAAATATGAAAATAAATTTCATTTTATTTAAGAATATGAAATTAAAAGTGTAATAAAAAAGTTTATATTTAAGTCATATTTTTTTGCTTTATATTTGACCCACAAAATCTTCTTCTTTACCGGGAAACACCTTCCGTTTTATTATTATATCTTTAGTGGTACAAACAAGAGTCTTGTATACATAACCACTTTTTAAAATATGCGTACGTGCGGTGAGACACGACGAGAAAAAATCAAGAGCGGAGAAAACATTTTCGATATTATTTTGGCCTGGTCAAGCAAGAAAACAACCACCGAAAAACATAAACAAATCCCAGCTGATGGAAAAGTTGGGGTCATGAAACTACACAACTTTATAAGAAACGATGATATGATATAAATAACTTCAGACCAGGAATTGCAAGGGGATTGTTTTCAACGACATTGTTTATTTTACCACATCCCCCCTATAATAGCCTCTATAAACACCTTGGTCACTGTTGTTTGTTGCAATCCCCACTCGCCTTCAACTGAGTCAGTGTGCCAGAAAAAGTTTATTTGCCTGGGCTGTCTCTGTCTCGTTGAAAAACCAAAACAAATTCGAAATCGCTTGCCAAGCTCAATTTAGATTTGTTTCTAGACAAATAACAACCTACATATTGTCGGCAAAATACAATGCACACTATATAGTATCCGTAGGTGGATAGAGAAATGTGCAATATGGTGTGCCAAATCGAAAACTTATAGGGAATAGATCTCAGCTGTCTGAACCAATTTCGCCATTTCGCAATTGCTACTAATTGCCGGTTGTCAGGAACGTTTTATTTTATATAGTATCACTTAAATATGCCCGTAGAGTAAAACTATATTTAGAAATATAAGCCTCAAATTAAATCAGTTGTTTTGTTAAAAGATCTAAAAAATCTAAAATATTTTTAGAAAATTTATTTATTTATTTTTTTTTTTTTAATTGAATTTTCTTTTTTAAGATTTTACATTATTTGGGTTCCCATACAATAAAATATTTAAAAAAAACCAACAACAATAATTTTATATATTTTTTAAATGTATTTTTTTAGTAAATTATTTGTAAAGGGAATTTATTTCTATCCTATTTTACAATCCTGATATTTTCCGCTTATGTAAGTCCCGCCTTTGGAGGCTTCTGATGCTTGATTAGATGTATGTCGTTTAATTGTTTGCTTTGTGGCTTATTTATAGCGATAACAATGTGTGGAAGGCAAGGTTGTTTTTATTTTTTTCCAACGTGTACCAACACGAGATACTCGGGAACTAGCGACAAACTAGAAGGCGGCTACAACAACTGGGGGTATTAAGCCAGCTCAAGTTGCAACGTGCACTTCTTGCCTTCTATTTTCTGCCCCTCCAGTAAAAGTATATATTACGCATATGTGCAAACAACTCACATAGATACGGATAAGCTTGGGGCGAAGAAGACTTACATACGACAATTTGTGCACATTGAAACTGCATTGTTGGCGTTACTTTTTTGTATTTTTTTTTTTTGCCGTTGATAAGTGGACTTGAGCTGCCGGCCGGCAAATTGCCCAGTGACTTGATTGCTGAAAGTTTTGGGGGGCTTATCATAGTCAATTCTGTGTAAATTTTAGGGGTGATGTGTTTTCAGAGGTCACATTTAAAGGCCCCAGTCAAGGCTAATTTAATCCAATTATTCTGATTTTTTATTTTATTACTTTTATTTTTATAAATTGATAGTTCGATACCTAACTGAGTTTTTTTTTGTATTTAGTAAAAACCCAGTTAAGATTAAATATTAATTTTAGGGATCCAAACAATGAGTTGTTTATAGGATGTTAAATTGATAATTTTTCAGTAATATTATTATTAAGAATTATCGAATCGGAATAATACAAATTTCCATTTATATTACAAAAGAAAATATTTTAGTAAAACATCTTTTTATACCTCAAGATTTCCGAATATAATTTTTAAAAATCAGATCTTAAACTGCATAAAACGCCAGGAAACACACGCCCCAAGTTCCGATTTGTGAACCATAAATAACTGGCCCCATATTTCGATCGTAACCCCACTTAAATTTACATTTCCCGCATGACCAGGGGCTCGACTTTTGTCCGCTTCTCTTACAAAAACAGGTTCGAAGGCATAACTAATATGCCGGCAAGTGTGTGTGTAGAGTGCAGGAAAAACAAAAATAAATTCAGATGCGACGCGTCTAAAAATAGCCCTCATAAAAGCCACAATAAAAGTAATAAAAGAAACAACAACAAAATAATTGAAGCTTGTCGTGGGTATTGAGAATGAATTCCAATTGGACATTGCCTGGGAAAATGAACCGAGAAAATGGAGAAAAATAAAGAAAGGGCTTTGTTTATTTATTTGTGTTTGTTTGTTGCAAGGTATTTTATGCCATTTATACATATATCATTTTATTTCGTTTATCTCCGTTGTGATTTCACCAGCTGTCGTTCCCGTATAATAAATATAAGAAAAACACGTGAACAGAGCGTGTTTCCTGAAGAGCAGGCTGCTTTTTTTTTACTGCTCTTTTCGGCCTTTTTTTTTTTGCTTTGAGGTTTTTTTGGCAATGGCGCCAAAAATGTTTAATTCACATTTGTGAACTAAATCTAATCGCAATTGCGACGTTTTCGCCTCGAATTTTACTATCAAGTCCCAAGCAAACCGGTTTTTTTTCTAAATGGCCTGACCTGCGATAAGACGCAATAGGGGAAAAAAAAAGTCCAGAATTAATAGGTTTTACTTACCCGCCGGCAATTAAATGGATGAAAGTGTCTGCTGTGTTTTGGGCCATGTTCCTAAATACTCTTCTTTATATAAGGGGTTTTTTCGTAGGGGGTTTATCGAGCAATTAACGCGCACTTGATTTTCTTTTTTTTTTGGTTGTCAAAAAGCAAACACGATTTTTATTTTTCTAAGGCACGTTGCGGACGGGGGGAGGTAGGGGGGTTTGGCGGCCCCAGGAGGAGGGGCTCTTAACCCACTGACGACACTCTCCTCTTCTTCCTGCCCACTTTCTTTTGTCCTTTGAACTTTCTTTGAGTTTCCGAAAAGAGAACTTTGTGATTTTTCCCCTCTTTAATTTTTGGCAATGAGTTATGCAACTGCAGTTGAATTCACCGATAGCGTTCTCTTAATTTATGGTTTCATGCGCACAATGTTGTCCGTCAATCAAGCACTGTTTCGACTCAGTCGGTCGCCGATCCTTCACGTTTTCGGTTTAATTTTTTTAACCATCTGACCGATGCAACCGTCTCGCTCGGAGTTTTTTTGTCTATTCGATATCAGGGTGTCCACTTTGAGAAGTTTTCGATGAGAAGCTAATCGATATTAAATCGATATGAATTTAATTAATATAACTAACTAACTAAATTAAACTAAAATAAATAAATAAAACTAAATTAATTAAATAAAAATAAATAACTATAACGTCATCGCTGGAACTTTTCGAATCGATGTTTGGGGGCTATCGAAGTCTTAGCATCACCAAAATGTTAAGCAATAGCAAAGACTTAAACCAAAATCGATATCGCTCGGTTCAAACGCACAGCCGCCGATAATTAGTTAATCTTTTTTACAAATTATAAAAAATAGTTTAAAAGGGGAACTGTGCTGCTTCAGTTAAAACTAATTTTTACAATTTGTAAAAAAGATGAATTAATTAATTAATCAATGAACACAAATTACCTCTAGTTAAGTTGGATAATTTATATTTTGCACTTTGAGACTTAAGCTGAACACATTCTTATAATTTTTAGAAAAATGTAATGCGGTAAACAAAAATAAATAATAGACTTCTTAAAATTTAAAAAAAAAAAAAACCATAATAATACAAAGTCAACATTTGTTTATTTCAGTTTTAAGTTGTAGTTTAATCACAATAAAAAAATGTCATCTTTTCAATGGTATTCTTCGGAATGTTCATTAATACTACTGCTAAAAATAAGTAGTAAACTTAAAAAATAGTGTTTTAAAGAAAATTCTTATTAATTTACATTTTGAGTAAATTACCAGCCTCTAGCCTCTTGTGGAGCAGGATGTGTAAACGCAGAATGGATTCCTTAGCAAAGGATTTTGAGCATTGGGAGCACGAGAATTGTAAATGGTGACAACGAACGTGACTCTGAAGATGGTCATGTTCCAAAAAAATCTCAGGACAATGGGAGCACTGGAAAAACGACTTTTCACGTTGAGATAGGCGGTGCTCCTTGTGTGTGGAGAGATCAATCAATTTTCTTTTATGTTCATTAGAATCATTGGAATCGGATAGATCAGTTTCGCCAACTGATGTAGAGTTTACTTCTTCCACGGATAAGTCATCTTCTTCCCTTATGGGTTCATTCTTCACGGAGAAACGCTGATGTGAATCCTTTTCTAGGTCTAATTCTTTTTTCAATTCGGAATCGAACTTTTCGGTTCCATTGGTGGAATGTGATATTACACTGTCACAATCTGATATTATCATAATTTCCTCCTCCAGTAAATCCTCATCGATGAACTCTTCTTTCACGTGGGTCTCAAAGAAATTCCGGGCAACCTTTAGACAAAGTGTACATATGGTCTTAGGAAATGGATCTCCTTCCTTGACTTCCACTCCAGTATAGTGGGAAATAATGTCCACTATTCCGGGGTCTCCATCAAATATATTTGTCATTCCTCCAGAACTTAGCATGCAAATGCGGCACAGGTTCTCCATTTCTGTATAAGCGAACAATAACTTTAGCAAGCTTCTACAACTTATGAAATTAACATACTTACTGTTCTTTAATATTTTATTTAATTTTATTATAAGCCATTGTTTGTTTACCTTTTCCAGATTTCAGATCTTGGTTATCGAATAAACATATGTTTGCTATCGAATTCTTATCGATCACGCGCATAATTCAAAGCTGTTAATTACTAAAGTAATAATTATAAATACTTGTCTTTCCTTTAAGCAAAAGCCAAAATTAAAGGAAAATTAATTCCAAAACTAACCATTTTCTTAAATGTTTTTTTCTTGGTTTTCTACACACCTCAAGTTTCCAAATCTTTTCCATATTTTTTTCAAGTAATTTTACTTAATTTACACGACCCCTCTGGCAACGCCACAGTTTTTAAATTGAAAAACCAACTCAAAAATGGATTTTTATATATTTTATTTCACATCAACTAACAAATTGAATATTTGTACGCATTCTCAATGTGTGTAATATTTGGTGTGTATTATTCTTCCTGTGGGATCTCGACTACTGAACACCTGGTATTCGATGAGTTTGACTTTTAACGGCTTTCCGCTTAAATTCTATGTCTCAATAACAATTTTTTAACCATTTTATCTGAGTTTTGATGGGTGTGTATAGAGCAATATATAATTTAGAAACAATTACAGCGACTACATGAAAGATATTCCAAGCTCTCTCTTCTGATAAACTGACCAAACATCTTGTACGTAGTGTGTTTTTTGAAATTTTCTTTTTATAAATAATGATTAGATCAAGGTGTTTAACATTAATAATAATGTCTAATAACGAAGCATAGAGACAGCAAACGGTTTTGGTAATTTAAATCTGATTCCCATTTGTGCGCCAGACACAAATGTTCCTTCCATCTGCATTCCCTCTCCCAGGATCCAGGATTTCGGTTGGAATTTTGAAGTGGCCCTCTCGCTTACTGGGGCTTCCTGAAGGACTTGCCGGCGAACTTGACGCCAGCGCCAATCTCCTCCTCGATGCGCAGGATCTGGTTGTACTTGGCCAGACGCTCCGAGCGGCAGGGAGCACCGGTCTTGATCTGTCCGGTGGACAAACCGACGACCAGGTCGCCGATGAACGAATCCTCGGTCTCGCCGGAACGATGGGAGACCATGGTGCCCCAGCCGTTCTTCTTGGCCAGCAGATGGGCGGCAATGGACTCGGTGACGGTGCCAATTTGGTTCACCTTCAGCAGCAAACAGTTGCAGGCCTTCTTCTCCACGGCGGTGGCAATGCGCTTGGGATTGGTCACCGTCAAATCATCGCCCACAATCTGAATCTGGGTGGATCCAGTCAGGTTGCTCCACGCCTCCCAGTGATCCTGATCGAAGGGATCCTCAATGGAGACAATGGGGAAGTCCTTAATAAACTCCTGGTACAGATTGGCCAACTTATCGGCCGGCAGCCACTGCGACTTGTCGCTCTTCTCGTTCTTAAAGTCCAGATCGTACTGCCCATCCTTGTAGAACTCGGAGGCGGCCACATCCATGCCGATCTCGATCTTGCCGGTATAACCAGCCTTGGCAATAGCATCGCTGATCAGGTTCAAAGCCTCCTTGTTGGACTGAATGTTGGGGGCGAAGCCACCCTCATCGCCCACGGCGGTGGCATCCAGACCGAACTTGGCCTTGATGACGTTCTTCAGGTGATGGTACACCTCGGAGCCCATTTTCATGGCCTCGGTGAAGGTGGTGGCACCGGTGGGCAGGATCATGAACTCCTGCATGGCCAGCTTGTTGCCGGCATGGCTGCCACCGTTGATGACGTTGAAAGCGGGCACAGGGAGGATAATCTCCTTGTTGCCAGCCAAATCGGCAATGTGTTTGTAGAGAGGAACACCCTTCTTGGCGGCTCCTGCCTTGGCAACGGCCAGGGAAACACCCAGGATGGCATTGGCTCCGAACTTGCTCTTGTTCTCGGTTCCATCCAGCTTGATCATGAAGTTATCGATGGCCGCCTGATCGACCACATCCAGATTGGCCTTGATCACCTCGGGACCCAGAGTGTCATTCACATGACCCACCGCCTTCAGCACCGACTTGCCATGGTAGTTGGCCTTGTCGTTGTCGCGCAGCTCCAGCGCCTCGTGGACTCCGGTGGAGGCGCCCGAGGGAACGGCGGCACGGAAGAGTCCCAGATCGGTGGTCAGGTCGACCTCCACGGTGGGGTTGCCACGGGAGTCGTAGATCTGACGGGCCTTGATTGCTTTGATGGTCATCTCGTCGCTGGCACTGCAAAAATCCAAAGTTCACAAATAAATTAGTATTACGAATATCAATGGTCCTAATCTAAGCGTGGTGTTTGAAAAATAACAACATCTGACCGCTGATAAGGGCCTTCAAAATTAATGGCAGATGTACTCCAGAATATTCCCGAAATCCCAGACATATTTATTAACTAATTAGGAAATTGCCAAGTTTTTCTTTACTTAAAAGTTAAACGACTACTTGATTAGAAAATTTTACGAAAAAGTTTTAAAATTAGAAAAGTAATTAAAAGTACGATTTCAAAAACAGTGTTTACAGAGATACAATTTAAATCATAATAAAATTTGTATAAAAATTTTGAAATTTTACTAAAAAGTTTTAAAATTATATAAATATAATAAATTAATTGAAAGGATTTGAAAAACAATGATTACAGAGATACATATTCTTTATCTTAGTTTTTAAGAAATACATTCTAAGTATTATCAAAATTATTTATATATTTTGAATGTAAAAAAAATGTGCCATGAAATATTTGAAAACATATTCAAATAATATTGTTCTTTTATTTTGAATATCTAGCAAAAAAAAAAAAATAAATTTATAACTGAATTGATAGTTGCAAAAAATATATAAATTAAAAATAAAAAGAAAAATTAAACTTAAAAAATATATTCATTAACTTTTTAAAAAATTGCATTAAAAACTCAAACGCAATATGATCGCTAAGTGGTGCAACCGACTTCATTCCTGCCTTTTATGTCAGACTTTCTCCATGGAATCTTCTCGAAAAGTCACCTCTCCATTTTCTATATTTAATTTGTCTTCCGATTTTATTAAAATATTTCTAAAATTATTTAGAGTCAATGACACGCGCGGCATTTCCCGTTTTCCCGACGACTCAGTGGGAGAGTTTTTCAGTTTTCTCTCGGCGAACAACCGAATGACCTCTAAGCTACTTTTAAAGGTCAGACGCAAAGTAAGGCAGTCAGCAAAGCCGGAGTACGTGTAAATGTTGCGAAAAAACGAAAGTATGTATTGGTTGCGATATGACAATTTGCTGTCCATTGGCATTATTTGAATTGTGCAATTAAATCGATCGGAAATATACGAAAAAAATGTCCCACTTGAAAATTTGCACAGCACAATTTGTTAGATAATCGCGCAAAAATCGCTTGCAAAAAGAATGTTTAATTTAAAAGGCGTTTAATGGGGCTAGTCTACTTGAACTTGGCAGATAAAATAATGAAATATTTTATTAAGCTGGACCCACGCACACACACATTAATTGCACAATTATACATACCAAGTACTATAGCTGAACTGCAGAAATTTAAATCCAGATGAGAGCTGGCTGGCTGCTGATTTGCTTCTGAGGGCGACTGAAACCGCTGAGAAAACGCTCGCTGATTTTTCGCTGCCCGTTCGCGACGACAGAATTTTGGGGAGAGCCCAACGCAGCGTCAGAATTTGCGCCATTGTGTGGAACCTGAGGAGCGGCTGAGAGAACTTAGAGCTGGAAACAATATCGATAAAAAAAAGTTATAAAAAAATGTAAGAAAAAAATTACAAAGAAAAAATTCTTAGGACTTTAAACTTTTTTTGGTGGGGTAAAACCGACCTAGTGCTTGAAAACTTTTGCTAATCGAGTGCGTTGGAAAGAAAGTACTCAAGGTAATAAACTTTGTAATGATTTTTTGTAAATAATAAATAAAGGTTAAATGATTTTGAATACCTTGCTTAAAAAAATCTTGAATAATAATTGAATAATATCAATAAACAAAAATCTTAAAATCATTTTCGAATTAAGGTCGGCTTACCACACTTCTTTAATCCATTTTAATATTTAATTCTTAATTATTGAACAAGTTTTTATCCTAAAATTATTATTTTAAGCTTTATTTTAGTGCTTATAGTAAAAAATAAAATGTAATCGATGGTTTTACCCACCCCTATTAAAAGTGAGTAAGCTTGAGAGAGAGCTACTTACTTTTACTCTCTTTTTATATGTATGCGTTTCCAGGTGCTCGCCGGTTTTGAATGTGGGGGTGCGTTTTCCCTTAGTTGTTGTTTTTTCCTGGTATAATTCCTATATTTTTTGGGGGAAAATTGACCTTCGCACAAGGTTAGATGAAATGACTTCCACACGCAGCTGTGGATTGCATGTCTATCTACAAGAGAGCAAGAAATAATGTCAAAGTTAATAGTTAATTAAAGCATAAACAATGAAATGACATCCAGAGGGGAGTACTGAAATGCGTGTAAAAACCTCTAGAAGTGATTTCTCAGGTCATTCAAAGTCACATACTTATTGTTATTCACGCTTTTTTGCTGCCATAAATTATAGAAAATAAATGCCAAGGCGGCTTTTAACAAAACGTACGATTTTGTTTATAGCGGCACAGCTGATCGGGCTATTATTAAGTATATTTTATTTAGTATTAGCTCTCATGCATTGTTGGGTTTTTAAAAAACCGTTAAACATTTTAATAAGTAAATCTGTTAAAATATAATAGAAATATTTATACATTTTTTTTTAGAGAAAATTGTTAAAAATAAAATAAAGTTATATAAAGAATTTAATACTATTTGATTAAAAAAATAAAATATTAAGCATTTATAAACCTTTAAACAAATGTTAAGTTAACAGGAGTATAACAGCTGACCACTGTTAAGACCAGTGCTGCTAAACGGCAGTGTTGGCTAACGCTCGATTCGACCATATGTTTTGAATCGCACACGCGGAATTTTTGTTTGGATTTTTGGAGCGGCTAAACCACAGAAAAGATCGACTAAAATGGCCACAACCAGCACCATAGTGATGCCCGGCGAGCGGATAGAGGCCATCGAGGAGCTGGCCAAGAGCAAGCGCGTGATTCTGGGCCCAGGACTGCGCCGACAGGACGAAACGGTGGTGGCCAGCAAGGCGGGACCGCTGCGCCACAAGGAACCGAGCACTTTTTGGGTGGACAACTACCAGAGGCGATATATCCCGGCACGCGGCGACCTGGTCCTGGGAATAGTTCGCTCCAAGGCGGGTGATCTATATCGCGTGGACATCGGAGCAGCGGACACGGCCTCCATTTCGTACCTGGCCTTTGAGTCGGCCACCAAGAAGAACCGACCGGATTTGAATCCCGGAGATCTGATCTACGCCAGAGTTTTGAACGCCAGCGCGGACATAGAACCCGAATTGGTCTGCGTCAATTCGGTGGGCAAACGCGGCAAGCTGGGCGTCCTCGCCGAGGGATTCTTCTTCAAGTGCAGCCTGAATTTGGGTAGGATGCTGCTCAGGGAAAACTGCCCCGTTCTGGCCGCTTTAACACGGGAATTGCCCTACGAGATCGCTGTGGGTGTGAATGGAAGGATCTGGCTGAAGGCCCATTCCCTGAGGGAAACCATCGCACTGGCCAATGCCATTGTGGCCCTGGAGCAGTCGGGCTGTGCGGAGATCGACAAGATATGCGACAATCTGGGCGACTTCCTGCAGGCCTAGAATTTAGTTCTTAGTTTACTTACATTTTATATTAAAAGAGAAAAGTATAGCCAAAAGGTTTTGCTTGAATTTTGATGCGACTGTTGGCGCAAAGGCGGAGTGTTGGAAGACTTATTTCGTTTCGATTCGTTTACGTAAAGGAAACTATCAGAGATGAGCAGATAAGTAAGGTTTGTGTGCCTTAAGCGGAAGGACTGCAATTTTTATAGGATATTTTAATATGATAATATTTAGAATTATACTAATGACGAATTTTGAGATAAGCAAGCTTTTTGTAATACCATTTTTTTTTCTATATGATGCCTTAAGTGGAAGAATTCAAATTTTTATAGGATGTTTTCATATGATACTATGTAGAATTATGCCAAAGAAGAAACAGATTAATTTTGAGAAACCTTTAAAAATAACTTTTTCAAAAATATGGTAATTTGAAAGTTTTGACAAAGGGATTTCGAAACAAACTTTTACATTATCTTTTATATAATCTCTTATTCAAAATTTAATTAATGCTACCAAAATATTGATCTTAGTCAAAAATAACTTTCTTAAAAATATTGAAAAAAATTTGAAAGTTTTGACTAAGGGATTTTAATGATAAGGCTAAATAAGGCTACCAAAGTATTGATCTTAATCAAAAATTTCAAAAATAACTTTCAAAACTATTGAAAAAATTGGAAAGTTTTAACAAAGGGTTTTTAAGATGAAAATCGAAAGAAATATATAACATTATGTTACCATTATCGCATATATTTAAAAAAAGGCTACCGAATTTAAACTAAATTTTTGTTATAAGACTTGATCTTTGGACCAATAAGATTATAATCTCCCAGAAAAGGTGTTAACTTTCCGCGGTCACTGCGTCATCACTGAGACCCACGACCAGCTGATCGATCGGACCCACTTAGCAGTGATTTTCTCGGGTGGGCGAACGAAACCCGCTTTCAGTGTCTTCCGTTGCGGCAGAGGACAAAGGTTTCTCCCGCCCCCAAGCGCCAGTCGAAGCCATCGCGATGACCTTTCTGGAGTTTCTGCTGCTCCTGCTGGTGCTCTACTACGTGGTCTACGTGCTCCTCTGGATCCTGCTCGACTGCAATGTGGCGCTGTGGTACAAATCCCGCTTCGGAGTCTCCCTGTCGTCGATGCGCGGCCAGGTGGTCTGGATAACAGGTGCCTCGAGTGGAATTGGCCGCGCCTTGGCCCTCAGTTTGGCCAGACAGGGAGTGAAATTGGTGCTAAGTGCCCGGAGAATCGAGCAATTGGAGAGGGTTCAGGAGGAATGTCTGGCGGCAGCGCGAGGATTGCTGGCCACCAAGGATGTGCTGGTCATACAGATGGATATGCTCGATATAGACGAGCATAAAACGCATCTGCACACGGTTCTGAATCACTTTCATCGTTTGGATGTCCTGGTGAACAATGCCGGCCGATCCCAGCGAGCCAGTTGGACCGAAGTGGAGATCGAGGTGGATCGGGAGCTCTTCGAACTGGATGTCTTCTCGGTGGTTCATCTCAGTCGCCTGGTGGTGCGCTACTTTGTGGAGCAGAATGGCGGCAGGGGTCACATTGCCGCCACTTCCAGCATCGCCGGCTTCAGTCCGGTGCCCTTTTCACCCACTTATTGCGCTGCCAAGCATGCTTTGAATGCCTACTTGCTCTCGCTGAAGGTGGAGATGCGCAAGCTGGATGTTTCCCTCTTTGCTCCCGGTCCCATTGCCACCGACTTCCTGCAGGAGGCCTTCACGGGCGAGCAGGGCGGCAAGGTGGGCCTGAGTACGGCCAATCAAAAGCGGATGACAGCCCAACGTTGCGGTGATCTCTTCGCCGTCGCCCTGGCTAATAAGATGGACCTCACCTGGTGCGGCCTCTTTCCCGTCAATCTGTTGGCCTACTGCGCCCGGAATCCCACGCTGAGCAAGATCCTGGCCCAGTTCATGACCGAGAAGACGCTGAACAAGATTCGCGAGGGCAAACTGTGAGAAGATCGGTCGAAAGCCTCGCCTCTCCCTCCTCCTCGAAACGGCTCTCAGTCAACTTTTATACTATTGTACAGTGTTTAACTATATAGAAACATATATAAATATATGTTCCCGAGATTAAGTTGAGTGTGCGTTTAAATTGCGATAATCTTGATGGGCACAGTGGGCGTTAAACAGTTTCTTCGATGATATTGGAAAGTAAGGGAGAAGTTATGGTGAGCTAAAAAATAAATATCTACATAGTTTACTATTTCTCTTAAGGGGAAATGTAGTATCAACCCTCTATTCATATTCTAATGTTATTTACTGCAGTTTACTTTTCATCATCTTATATTTATCTACTCTTTAAACGAAATTTAATCTAATCTGCTTTCAAGGCTGCCTTGACATGAGCTGGTATCTTGACCCGTTTTCGTTTCGCCTTGGTTATTGTGGTCTGTTCGACTCCCTTGAGCTCTGGTTTTCTCTCTTTTTTGCTCTTCTTGCAGGACAGTGGATTTGGGTTCTTGGGTCCTTTGTGCTTCTTGGGTTTGTCCGTAGTTTCAGCTGGCTTAAGACCCTGCTTCTCCTTCATATAGTCGATTTTCTCAACCTGTTTGCCAAGCATCAAGTTCTTGGCCCGTCGTTGCACCCACTTTTTGGAGGCTTTGGATGGGGCTTCCAAAACGGGCGTGGCCTTGTGCAGATACAGTAGACAACGTCCCGGAATCTTGCGAAGACTTTCCTGCAGCAGACGATCCTGGGAGGCTACTACATAGCGATTGTCCTTGGTCTGTAAGAGAAATTATAAATTAATTTGGTGAACTTAGGGAAGGCTTACTAGCGATTCTAATGAATTCTAAAGTTTTTGGTGATATACAAAAATCTAAACATTTTTAAAGAATTTTGGAGTATAAATTCTAAAGGAAGAAAGGTTTAACATGACTAAAAATAGTAAGGTTTTTAAGATATTATGGATCTTTAGACAGGTTTTGAATAATTCAAAAAATGGAACCAACTGATATAGAAAAATTGTAAGAGGTGAAAGAGGTCTTTTTTTTGTAAAAGTGTTTGAAATAAATTAACAAAATTTAAAATAGAGTGGTAAATATAGATAAAATAATTTCGGCTTTTAAGATGTTACAATATTAAAAAAAGGCTTCTTAAAACTTTGAAATATCAAGATCAGTTTTTCCCATATAGCGAAGTTAGGAACTGAAATAAGATAAAATAAAGATCAACTCAAACTATAGTTTCCTTCGGAGCTAGGATAAGTCCCTATATAATCCCTATTTTACCATAGATTTAATGCATTCGGCGGCTGCCACTGGTTTTCCCTCGTGTCCGCATTTGTGGACATGGAATCGCTTGACGATCGAAGTGGCTCCAGTGAGCGGTGCTCCCAAGGATTCGGACTCCAGGATGACGCACTGGGTGGTCAACAGTTTAACGCCACACTGAAAGTACTTCCTGATCTGTTCATCTATGCCAATTTTTTGCTAAAAATTAAAAAATTAACTTGGGAAATCAACAGGTTTTATTTTATAGCAAATCTCACCTGCAGAGCTGCCTGGCAAAAGGTGGCGTCAATGAGCACTTGGTAGGGTTCCCGATAGTCGAAATTGGAGGCGAAAAACACCAGGGTTTTGTGGGACTTTTTAAAACGAGATATTTTCATTTCTAAAAAATTCCCGAGATTTCCGTCAAAACAAAAACAGCGTGCAAGTGGCCAGTGCTGACAACGTCGAAACTCAGCTGTTTTGCATTAACAGCTGGTGGGCGCCTAACAGCTCTGCTAAGCTAACAGCGTGCTGTAATGCGAATTCAAAATACTTAACATTTGGCGCCAAGCAGAGAATGCATTTTCAACCCTCTTGAAACAATTTCACCCCCTTCTTTCCTTCTCCGCAGCTATTAAGCGTTTTGTTTTCATTTCCCTTCGCATAGTTAGTTGTTCTTCCACTGCAGTCGCAGGCGCATCAAGTTGCGGTATAAAAGAAAAATTGTAAATACTATTTTTTTTCTACATAAAAGTGGCATTTAATATTGAAAGTTGGAAAGTTCATGTGAAAATCGTCAGTAATTTAAGAAGTCAGTAGATCAAAGACTTACAGTTAAGGTTATTAACTACGAAAATATATTTACTACCGTGTGCAAAGTCTTTTAACCCTGTGAAATATAATTTTTCATTGCTATTCGAGTTTTAATGGAATGTATTGCGACGTATATATCCCATTTGTGCCGCTTACAATTTCCATATTTTGGTTTTCTTTTGTCTGTTTTTATTTACGGCGCAACTAAAGTTTTCCTAGCCCCTCTAACCCTCCATTGTTTTTCCATCTTTTACCCACTCACCCTCGATTGTTTTTCCTCTTTGGTCATTTTTCTTCTGTTTTTCTTTAATCTGCTCAATTGACAATCAATTGATGGATTTTTTTTGCTAATCATGCTCATTGGTTTTTAGTTGAGGGTCTTAAGCTTAAGGTTCTTTGTTTTTTTATACTTTACATTTAGAAAAACATACAATTTAATTTTCCTTTTTTTAATCTTAGTATAAATAATTTAAAAAATAAAATAAAATATTTGCACTAACTCTGACTCTTTTACAGTAAGATTTATAAAAGGAGACATAATGCTTTTAATCATATAGTTTTCCTTGGATATTTTTTTCTCCGTGCACGATAAAGAATATTGGTCAAGTTTGCCTATAATGTCAAGTCGATAAAGCCACCAGTTGCAGCTGCTGAGTGATCCAGTACTGTTTTTCCTTGCTTTTCCAGCAATAATCTCTCAAGGTTGGGCCATTGACAGCTGTCATCGATTGAGGGCTGAGTTGTGGGTGCAACCACCTTTTGGGATCTGAAATCTGGGCTCTTTGGATGGCTCATCATCTTCGCTTTACGGTTTATTCTTGCAGGCTATTCAACTTTCCAGTTGTACAATGAAGTACAATGAAATTACCAAAAGCATAGTGATATTCATATGCAAATCGGCGTCGTACTCATATTCCTTTCAGAACACACCTTTCGCTATAGGAAAAATTGGATTTATTACGAAGTACTGTCATGTCCCGCATGTCTGGCATTCTGATTTTGCTCCTCTCCTATTTTTTTGGTCGTCTTCTTTCGCTGTTTCCGGCGGGTTTTTCGGTAGTTCCCATATTGTTTTATTCGATTTGAATGGAAAGAAAGTGACGCATAATAATAAACCGCGGAGGGGGCGGCGATGGGAGGTGGATAGATGGTTGTGGAAAGAACCCACAATTCGCATTGTGTTGGGGTAAATATAGATAAATACTAGAGTTCCACGAATTTCGGTTTGGGGAAGCACTGAAACAGAAATTGATTTGTCGTGATATAGGTACTTTGACGGACATTTTAATTTAATTCAATTATTAAATCTAGTTAAAGTGATTAATGTTTATACTATTATAAGAAGGCAACAAATAAATACAGTTCGTTAACTGTTGAGATTTTAATTCAAATTTTCTATTTTATGATATCAGCTATCATGAAACTATTTTAATTTTTGTTATGTAACATTTGATCCCCCAAAGTCAATTAAACATTTATGTTCATAATGAAATTTGACCATTATGATCCACGGTTCGTTAAATTCTGATCCCGTAATTTTTTTAAGCACCCATCATCAGCAGACAGTGAACTATATAGCATCAGCTCATATATATAATTCATTCAACTGTGGTCTACGTTACCATCGTCACGATCGCCGTAGAATCCGCAAACCCAACGAGACCAGACCAAAATTTCAAGTAGCCTCCTAGCTTAATTAACTTATTCATTCATTGATCCATTCACATTTCATCTAACGTCACGCCAATTCGTGTTACCTTCCCCGCCCCCCCCCAAAATTTGTTGCAGTGTATGCATGTCAATCAGTCTTAAAGACCGAAAGCCAGACTTCGTCTCCGATTCCCATTCCCTTACCCCTTTCGATCCGACAGAACCTTAATTAGTTGCCAAATGGTGTTTGCTGTGCATTTGGAACGTAAGCCGATTTGGTTCTGGCTATATCTCTTTATATACGGTATACCAATATATATGTATAAATATTTATGCCTTTCATTAGCAAAACATTTGGCGTCCCAAGTGGACTTTTAATAATGCGATTTTATTTTCTTGCGATTTCTGGCCGGGCATAAAGAAAGACTTCTCATGTTCGTTTGTTTATTATTGTTTGCTTTTCACAATTTCCGATTAAATTTCAAATTTCCCTATCAGTTAGGAATATTTTGTCCAGCTAGAAAAAAAGTGTCGCCCTGAGCATTTCCTAGTGTGCAAAAAATAGCTGATCTTGAACCAAGATTGAACCCTTGTTTAGAGAGATTTTTACCGGAGGGGAGTACTACTATTTATGAGAATACGCCTGAGCATCGTGTCACCTCTGAGGGCTATTTGATTTATATAAATATTTATTAAAATTATAGAATATAATAGAATATTATAGATCTTTGGGTAGACCCAAAAGTTTTTGCCGCAAATGGGACACGCGACGTCTAATCAGTTCGCCGGACATATAGCGCGATTCATCATAATCACCATCGTCATCGTCTTCAACGTGATCTTCCTGCTTGCGTAGTTTCAATCTGTCAACAAACAGTAATTTGTTTTTAAGCTTATTCAGCTTCCCATATTTAAATAGCTTAGGTTAGTGTCTCAAAAATCTGAAAAAAGGGGAAACAGGTAATTTATTCAAAAAATCGTGATAATACTTTACCATGTTTAAAGCTCAGATATGTGGGTTAAAAATATAGGAATGTAACCCTAGCTCATAAATATAATATGAGTGAGGGTCAAGCGAAAATCGAAATGTGTTTGAGAATTTTTCATTTCCCTAATGAGTTGTTTATAAACAATATAGAACCTATAAATGTTTATGAATTTATGGCGCTTAGGATCGCCATTAAAATAGAATTATGATTTAATATTTGTAAACAATTTTTGTCGAAAAATCCAAAATTATATAACTTTTTAATCGGCCTTAAAATGTGTTTTATTATTCGTACAATATTTTCATACAGATAAGGAATTTAGTATACCACTTAGTTCAAATTATAAATGCGTAGCACTTAACATAATGAATAACAAATTGGTACTTAAATTTTTAAACAAGAATCGTTGACAAAAATGTTTAACTGATAACATTGTAATCTTTCAGCCTTAAAAGAAATTAATTGCTACAACAATGTCACTTTTGATTTAAAATAACCAGAGAAAAGTAATCAGCCAATTTATAGTACAAGCCGATACATCCAAATCTGACTCAATAAAATCTTAACTCAAAACCCACACTGCAGGGGAAAAAAACGTGACGTTGTCTGGCGACTTTGCGAACTGCGAATTACAAATTTAAATTAAACATTGAGCTCGCCCATTCGTGTGCCAAGGGAACCCACATAAATCATTATCTGAAGTTTATTAGACGGGGATTGGATTGGGTTATAGTAATATGGCTAAATTCTAACACGGCTCAAAGTTCGTGGGAAGTGCAGCAAATGTTTGGGCCATAGTTGGTAGCCTAATCACTGGATGCACAAACAACATTCCATAAACAGCTTTATCAACGGATATTGTCGGTAACAAAAGCCCACATAATTGGGTGCTGATAAGCTGGGCAAATAACTGCATTATCAGATAGCTATCTCTGGGTTTTTTATCTCTGGAAAAATTAATTACTCTACATGACATGTTGTATGAAGAACTGCGCCATTTATCCAAGTTAAAGCTGGATAATTTCGAACAGATCTAAGTCACCACAATTTGTGGCTATAAAAATGGAAGGCTTAAGAAATATCTGGCTTAAGCTGTTCTATAGTTTTTTCCATTCGAGAAATATGTAATTAAGAATTACAGTTTCAGTATGTTCATTCGAACAATTTAAGAAATTTTTCCCCTCCTAATTGCCAACTTGGAGTATTTATAGAACTACAAAGTATTTGCAAAAATGAGGGGTGATTAAAGATTTTAAGGTAGGGCCTAAAGGCCATATAGTAGATTGAACTTTGGCCAGATAGTATCAGAAAATATTGAAATTAAAGGTTGCTCCGTGTTCAATATAAAGGGATTGTACAAGTCTGACTGATCAGAAAATTAAATAGGCTTAGGTGGAACCAATGCACTTATTATTCCAATCAATGTTTAAAGGCGAGGCTTGCCAATAGTTAAATACAGAAATCCCATCGGATTTTTAAGAGCCATTAAAATAAATTCCGTTCTTGTGTTCCTAAATAACATCGATTAAATACGGAGTCTGGATAAAAATATAACTATCCCCATTTTCATTCATTACAAGATATTCTAAATAAATACCCACAATTAAAGCCTTCTCTATAAATACCTTATTAATTCAAATAATTAAACCCAAGTATTTAAAATGTTTAGAACAAGCTTTATCTCAATGATTAAGTATAACCCATTTAGAAAAACTCGTAGAATGAGCCCTACAACTTATTTAGCTAGCAATTAACTGGGCTAATCTTGGCCCAATTAAGAATTTCCAGTTCTGTCTTCTCCTGTTAATCACACAGCTGGGTTCAAGGCAAACCCCGGCCAAACCTATAATTATAAAATCCATATTTTAAATAGATTACACTCTGCCAATCAGTAATTTATTAATAAAAGGTGCAACTTCCCGTCTTGTCGGCGAACAAAATCCGAATAAAATCGATATCTATCA